CATTATATTCTTCGATATTTTGAATTTATCTTTTCGCGCCAAATGTCACTTAGTAAGCTATATCTTCGAATTCGAGCCTTTTTTGATTGTTCTATTGTATGAGTGGGTGTGCTAACTTCCATGAAAACCTCATTCTGATGCCTCAGAAATTCTATCTACAAGTTTTATATCATTCTTTAAAACAGCATGTCGCATACATCAGTATATGGACATGCAACACTAAAGAAATGATTTTTCTAATTTGTTTCCCGATCCGGTTGGTTTATTCCATAAATGGACTATAGTCCGATAATGATAAACAACGCAGTTCAAGTCATATGTCTCTGTTCAGATACACACAGTAAATAAGAAAGCAGTGAAAAATCTTGGATTTTACTTTCCACAAAGGTCTAAGTATTGAATTTACTTATTTCATTCTCAATATATGATAGTGTCACTACCCACCCACCCCCCACCCCCGTTTTAAAGAAAAAAAAATGAACACACATTACTACTGTTTACTTCAGAGGAGAAAATACACTCCAACAAAATGTGTATTTTATTATGTCCATCTTTTAAAATGTTTACAATGCATGATTTGATAACAGATTTTATTATGTACATGTATGTAGGTGTTACAATGGAGCTTGAAATTTAGATCCAAGGGCAGATCACTCCACTAGCAGACACCCCCCCCCCCCCGAATAACAACTCTTTAGTATGCAGTGTATAGATGATTCTTCAACAAGTTAAATAAAATCAAGATTTCAATTACACAAGGTTCTCAAATTAAATATAAAGTTAGGGTATGTTTTAAACTCAAAAAGTATAAATGCTTAAAAGGTTTATCACTCTTCATGCAGATATATTGACTGATTTAGCCAGGCAAGCTTTTTAAAAAGCTGTTACTTGTACTATGTATATATATGCATATAAAATATTCAGCATTATTATTATCTCGTATTTTACAAATTCTTTTAGTTTAAAATGAAACATGGAGATAACGATCGTTACCATACAGAACAGTTCTAACAGAACAGAACTTTTTATTTCTAATTTAGAGCCCAGAACATTAGTTAAGTAAAACAAAACAGGACCAGAGAAAACAGGTGCCATGGAGGCGGAGTGAGCATCCCCTGCTGACCGGTCACGCCGTGTGCTCCTTGACATGATTGGGAAATAACGGGAAAATCCGACGTCAATTCAGTGTATAAATAATGGAGTAACAATTATAAGTCAGCATTAGACTCAGTGATAAAGTGTATTTGCTGATGTCACCAAGGTTATTTTGTATCGACCATAGAACGACTTTTAAATGCTGATCGATATACTAGTACTTGTTTCATCAACTTGTTTGTCAATAATTTACCTCGTTTTAGAAATTGTTCATACGTAGAGCATGCTCTTGCGTACCGAATCAACTGAGATACATATATAAACTCAGTATGCGGCAGGTGATGAAGATATATTGCTGTATAAGTAAGGGAATTTGACGATAGAAAAGTTAAAGTCATCCGTTTATCATATAGAGCTTGGTTGTTGGATTACCATTAACGTCTTCTTTGAAGTAAAATATCCAAATATGTCAGAAACAGATGTGTCAGACTCTGTGGTATCTTTTATCTCAAGCTCACCAGGATATATATCGTATCGACATAAGAATGGAAATTACCATTGTTGATTGACAATACGTCGTCGACATATCTAAATCACAGGTACTTGTGGACAGGACAAAAAAAATACCCCACTATTACATTAAAAGATCTCTCTTTTAATGTATAGTGGTTTTTTTTTTTTTTTAATTGTTGTTGTTGTTGTTGTGAAGCGATTATTTTTTGGGATTTTGACGATTATTTCCAATTGTACACATGATGAATAAGTGTCATAAATATAATTTGTGAAAAAAAGTCCAATAAGCCCCGGGGTTGAATATCGGGGGTGGGGGAGGGGATACTTTAAATCCTGTCCACAAGTACCTGTGATCTAAATGTCGAGTTGAGGGCCACAGCAAGTGTTTTCTTCTTTTCATGCATAAGATTTTGTACAAATTCTGCTTCATGTGAATACAAATTAGGTCTGGTAATAACGGGTCACAATTGGTACCCATGGGAATTCCATTAGATTGCTGCAAGACCTGATCTCCAAAATCCACATGGATATTTTCGATCAGATACTAAAGCATCTTGTTGATGTCAACGTCAGAGTACTTGTGTGTACAATCAGGAGTTTTTTATCAAAATAATTTTGCAAATGACCCAATGGCAAGGTAAGTAAAACGAGTTCCATTTTTTATTGAAAAAACAGCTGTCGATGATATCAAAAAGCCTGAACTTTAATTTATCGTGGGGAATAGTTGTGTATAAAGTTGAAAAGTCGTAAGTTTTTAAGCTGTTCATTTTGTTCCTTGGAATTTTCATAAGTATCCACATCTGATTTACACCACTTCTCGAATATATTGTAGCAAAGTAATTTTGAAGTTTCTCCTTCACCACAAATATCTTAATGAGGAGTAAAGAAAGAGGCTTGGTTGTATGGAGTGCCGTTTTAATATTTTTAAGGTATTTTCTGATATCAAAAAATCATTTTGTGATATCAGAAATTCGATTTTTTGATATCAAAAAATGGTTTTCTGATATCAGAAAAAAAATATTTTTTGATATCAGAAAATAAACAAGATTTCTTTAATATCAAAATATAGAATTTCTGATAACAGAAAATCATTTTTGATATCAAGAATTCGAATTTTTGATATCAAAAAATCATTTTCTGCTTTCAAAAAATCTCCGGGATTTTATGATATCATAAAAAGTAATTTCTGATATCAAAAATTCGAATTCTTGATTTTAAAAAATATAAGGCATTTTCTGATATCAAAAATTCGAGTTTCTGATGAATTGAACATATTTTATTGACAATTAAAGCCAAAAGGATAAGACACAAGTTCTGACAACTTAGATAGTCTTCTCCTTATACAAAATTTTTATAATATTGCCAAAATAAAGAACAATTATTTTCAGAAACAATTAGTAGTGTCAAAGACAGTAAACTCTTGATACCAGAACACAATACTATATATACAAAAAATTAAGATTTTTCAGAGAATCGACCACACTCTTTTAAAAAGGTATGAATAACTTTAAAAATTTCTACATTTTGTGTCAGAGAATTCAACACCCCATAACATCAAATGAACATCTATAATGTACAAATTGTTGAATGATAATAACTTATTCATTAGAGAATATCTTGCTGTTGCATATTTTCTACAAACAAAAAACAAATGATAGGAATCCTCTATTTGTCCACATGAGCAATTCGGACTGTCAATTAAATTACAGCGAAATAGGTCAGAATTTAAAATACAATTAGTTTCTGATATCAAGAAATCATATTCTGATATAAAAAAAATCTCCGGGATTTTATGATATCATAAAAAGTACATGTAATTTCTGATATCAAAAATTCGAATTCTTGATATCAAAAAATATATGGCATTTTCTGATATCAAAAATTCGAATTTCTGATATCAAGAAATCATATTCTGATATCAAGAAATCAATTTTCTGATATCAGAAAATGATTTTTTGATATCAGAAATTCAAATTGATTTCTTGATATCACAAAATATATTTTTTGATATCACAAAATAAAATAAAATGGCTAAGAATCTTCACATAATTTTGAATACTCCCTTGAACTGAATAATTCCGATTTTTAGTCCCAGATTTGTTTTCTATTAAAATTTGTTGATTTCAGATTTTAGAAATATTTTTTTAATGAAAAAATTTGACAATTGTTATCGATGTCGGTAGGTGTGCTGCAGGTCGGACTTAGACTGAGAATTTCCCTGTAAGCAGCAGTTTTCAACAGCAGTCAATAACTTAATTCTCCAATTGCATATTTGTGTAAAGTGATGTTACAGCTGACCAGCAAGTACTCGTTGTGTTGAGTTCATTCTTCAAGTCTGAGTTATCCATAAAGTTTGTGCTTAAGTTATGTGTGCGCAATAAGTGATTAAAACTATAGTCAATAGTGCAAAAGAACGACGGCATTCTAATATCAAGACATGTATTAGAGCACTGTCCAAACATGTCCTAAACTTATTAGAACCCAACAAAGTTCGCAACTTTGTGTGTCGGGAAGCTGAATGTTCATCACGGGAAGCATTCATTGAGTCGATCGTAATTTTACTTCGTTCTTATTTTCTGATATCAAAAAATCGATTTGTGATATCAGAAAATACTTATAATTTTTTGATATCAAAAAATCAATTTCTGATATCAAAAAAGTAAATTTCTTATATAAAAAAAAATGATTTTTTGATATCAAGAATTCGATTTCTTGACAAGTTATTTTGTGATATCAAGAATTTGAATTGTTGATATCAAAAGATTGATTTCTTGATATCAAGAATTCTTGATTCTTTTCTCCGATTCAGAAAATGATTTTCTGATATCAAAAATTCGATTTCTTGATATCAAAAAAATCATTTTCTGATATCACAAAATCGATTTTTTGATATTAGAAAATAAACAAGATTTTTTGATATCAAAAATTCGAATTTTTGATATCAAAAAAGATTTTCTGATATCAAAAAAATTTATTTTTTGATATCAAGAATTCGAATTATTGATAGCAAGAATTTCTTTTTTGATATCAGAGAATACCTCAAAAATATTAAAACGGCGCCTCATATGGTTGAACATTTACTGGAACACTCTATCGCGCTATGTATCCGGGTTTGTTTGTTGAAAACGATTCAGTTGCAATAGGTCAACGTGGTCACTAGAGATATTTGAATGTGTGACAGTCTCAGACCTGAATTAACCATTCAGTCTTTTCCCAATTAAATCAAATGGTTATTAAGCTGTTAAAAATTAAAAAACCATCTAGTTGTTAATTCCAGTGATTTTCCAAAATGCGAATATTATTGGAACGCGTTAACTAAAACCTTTAAACCGGATATGAAAGTTCTTGCACGGCTCTGAGAAATAGAACAAATTTATTAACTGAGAAAGGACATATGTGAAAGTATTTAATCTGTAGACAAATTATTCAATTACTCAACAGAGAAGAACAGGGGATTCAGTTGATTAGATTTCTTTCGGACAAAAAAAGTAAGGAAAGGTTTATACCTGAAAACTGTATGGAACACATGTCGTTAAAAAGTTTGTGTCCTTCAAACCCGGTTAAACGTAGTTAGAATATTCTAACTGTATCTCCGTACAAGCCCTCACCACAGTTAGAATACCTCCCATACACTTGCAATGTAGCAAATCAGAGCGGATCTGCTCTGAAATGATTTTGAAGAATACAAAAGAGGATGTATTGAAAATAAATACCAAATTATTCAAAAGTTAAACAAACCTTTTAGAGATTGTATATGCCTTTTACGCCAACAAATAATCCATAGACAGACTAAAATTCAACTCATTTTCTCAATGTTTTTCTCGATTCAAATTTACACGCCATGTTTACATACTAAACTCTGGATTGCGCTGAGTTCAAGTTATCGCCGTATTTATTTTGCTACATTGTAAATAGATGGACCGAATTGTTAAACTGGGTCCGTAAGACATATATCAGTTTAATGATAGAATGTTCTATCTAGGTCAAATGATTCAATTTGTTCCATATGTCTGCAGTGTAGCAAAATAAATAGTGACAGATATCTATGAATAATCCAATGAAAGAGTTCTAAATGAAAGAAATGGGTGCAATTTTCATTCAGTTTTAGAACAGTATTGGTATACTGTTCAGTCATCAGACTTTGACTTTTTGTTTATTCTGAATAAAATGTTTAGTTATTTTTTAAAATCAAATAAATCTTAATCAATCATTGTGGCTACCTGTGAAAAGTAGTGTTTTAACTGTGTGAATATGAAATTCCTGTTAGCTGAGATATTTTCATTTGAGTCCAGAGTTGGACCCCTTGACAGTAAACGTGAGCGTCATATACCAATAGGGAAAACTGGAATTTATCACTGTATTTAATGCTTATAAAAATGATTTAAAAACAGTTTTGTAATATATATTATTTAGATGGCAGGAACAATGCGATGTCATTATGAAGTTCTTGGTGTGGAGAGAAATGCTACAAGTGATGAGATGAAGAAAGTGTACAGAAAACTGGCTCTTAAATGGCATCCAGGTAACGAACAATTAAAAATCACACACAGACACAAAATATAAAGAAAAACAGGCTCTTAAATGGCATCCAGGTAACAAACAATTAAAAATCACACACAGGCACAAAATATAAAGAAAACTGGCTTTTAAGGAGGCTCTAAGCACTGCACACTAAAGAGCTCTATTTGTTGGGTAGTTTTATGCAGTTAGAGTGATTCTGCCCTTAGATGTAAGATTAAAGAAATCGTTATTTACCGTTAATTACATAATTTATAATAGATTAAAATATTTTTAGCAATATAGTAGACCAAGATTAAGAAATTTAATTATTTTCATTAATTTGTCCAGTGTAAGTAAACAACAGTGATTTCTGCTCACAAATAGTCCATTGTCTTTGGACATTTTTCCTGCGCAAATAAGGCATGAACCCTATGTTCTAAATGAATGAAAAAGTCTCAATATACATATCTTTTTATGATATATTTTTCTCTAAGTCCAAAAAACAGTTTCTGTTGGTGTTTAGAGCTTCCTTAATAGTCCGGTCCTGATTTTTAAAAAGAAGGCTAGAAATAACTTCTAACGGCAAATAATTATTATTTTGTCCAGCATAGTTTTTTAACCTAATTCAAGTATGCTGAATCCGAAAAAATATGCTGGCCTGCATGAAAATGGCGTTAAAGAGGTCAAAATGGCGATTCAAAATGGCGGACATCCAATTTTTCTAATTTTTTCTTAATATCGTTCAAAATGGAGAAATAATGTGTAAATATCTCACTGAGTGTAATACAACTATAAAAATGATAATAGAATGCTAGCATTATTAGTTTAACTCAGAAAATTTAGTCGTTTCTACGCTTAAGTTTAAAATATATTTTATTCATTAAGAAATGGATTGAACAGCAGGCATAAATGCCTATGATCGTTCTCTCCATAGGTCAAGGTACAATTACAAGTACATGTAAGTAAGTAAGTAAGTAAATGGTTTATTATAGTGACATGTGTTATATACAATTACAACAGTTGTCAACAAATATACATATATTAAGAATTGAAACACCCGGCCCATCGGGGCCTATATGTCACTTTAGCAATATAACTTTCAATAATACAGAGATATTACGCATTGCGTTTACTATAAATAATAGATTGTCTGTAAGTATATGCTGAATATATGAATTTTCCGATCTGCCTTGGGAAATTTAATAAAAGAAATCTTGTTTTGTCTAAATCTGACATATTATTATCAAATAAAGTTGGGTTAAATTCAATACTGGTAAAAAAGATTGCTCTTAGATTTGAATATGATGTACAATGAAGCAAAAAGTGACATTCATCTTCTACACTATTTGATAAACATAGAGTACAGAGTCTGTCTGATAAAGCCTCCCCCTTATACCGTCCTGTTTCTACCGCATCTAAATTGAGCAAGTATAGAACGATGGCATTTTGGGATATCCATTATTACATATTTCTCGGTTTGAAAATCAGATTTTACGGCTCGGTAGGTTCTAAGTTTTGGGACGTTTTGGAGATCTTCATTCCATGCGTTTAGAAATTTTTGACGGAGTTTTTCTTCAGCTATAGTTAAGTTGCAGGCCATTTGATTTTGGAAATAGGTAGACATATCAAGAGATTCAAATAGGAGTTTGGCTGTATGCGACCAGTTTCTGTTGTTTGGTAAAGATTGTTCGAAGTCCCACAAGAATATTTTTTTCGTAAGTCTGTCGTCCGGCATTGTAACGAGTCGATTCCAAAGACGTATAATATTCACCTGGTGACGATAAAATGAAGGAAGCCAACCAACTTCTCCTTGAATTGCTAGTATTGGCGTAAATCTATGCACACCCAGGAAGTATCGCATCGCACGATGCTGTACAGATTCAATATTATGATGTTTGACGTAACCCCATAATCCACTGCAGTAATCCAAGATAGGTGCCACTCCGCTCATATACATTCTTTCGTATGTTTTGAATCCTATTGATTTATTCGAATGTATTTTGTTTGTAATAGCTCCTAGTGCGCGACCGCCCGATTTTGCAAGATTTTCTGCGTTGTCCTTAAATGTGGTAAATTCGTCAAACAAAACGCCAAGATACTTATAGGATGATGAGTACTCAATACGATCTTCTCCTAAGGTAAATAAATGGTCACTTCATTTAAACATGTAAACATTGAAAAAATGTATGAAGAGTAGATTATCAATTGGTACATATTTAGAATTAATTCAAAGAGAGAGAGAGAGAGAGAGAAATGAATAGAACAAAAATAAATTTAACAAGAGGATAGGAAAAATAATAATTATATAATCAAATATAAACAACAAAAAAGGGAAAAACAAAAACAAAAAATAAGAAAAACAAAGAAACAAAAAAACAAAAACATATGTTTGAGCAATTGTTGTTGACCCAGAGTAGGAAGAATTCCCTAACAGAGCAGTTTACCTAAAATAATATATTTCCCATAGAATGTCATAATAAACTAAAATTTCAATGAAAACCTCTTGGAGGTTCTTATAAAGGTATGTACATGATCAAAAAATGAAAAAATTTTATCCAGAGTTAGTGAGTCTACACCATATAATATGTTTTCTATATTAATTGGTATGTTATTTTCATTCATGTATTTAATCAGTAATTGTCGTTGTGAGGCATATTGTTGACAATACAAGAAAAAATGCAGTGAGTTCTCGTTTTGATATCCACAATTTGTACATGTTGGTGATTCGTTTAAGTGATCTTTGAAAAGATCAGCATTAAGGTTACTACATTTATTCCTTAACTGGCAGTGTATTACGCTTCTATTACGAATTTCTACGCTTAATTCGAATTTTCTTAAATTTATATGTATATTGTTTCTATATTCTGCTTTGTTCAGGATTTTACATTTGCAAATATCCATACACTGCAGATTTGTATTTTTTCCTCTGCATCTCACTATTCTACAATTGAATGATGGTGCAGCTGTAAGTTAAAAGTCATAATGGCGATTCAAAATGGCGGATATTCATTTTTTTTTATTATTATTTCTTAATGTCGTTTACATAGAAGAAAGGATTTGTGAATTTATTTCTGAGCGTAGTGCAACTATGTAAACTGACATTAGAACACTTGTATTATCACTTTAATTCGAAAATTTAGTCGTTTAAATTTGGAATGTGTAAAAACACTCAAAATGGCGATTCAAAATGACGTCATATACACTCGAATTTCGTAAAATACCCAAACTGCATATTAATTCTGAGTCGTTTTGCAGGAAATAAATTACAGTTTGTGTTTTTTTTATTAATGAAATAATATTCAAATAGGCAATGAAAGTTGGAGGATATTTTTGTTAATGACTTAGGATTTTTATGAAACGGATTTCTGTATAATTATTTTATTACTAGTATTAACACATGATTAAGATAAACTTTTGACGACAGTTCCGAATTGAAGACATCTTAATTATTGTCTGTCTCACATAAAAAGTTAATATCATACAATAATTGTTTAGAGGACAATAGGACAATTAACTTACCCCAAGAGCAGTATTCCCCGAGCATTAAGGCGATTGAACATTGTAGTTCAAGGTTTGCTTAATCATATCTCAGTTGTTGGAAATTCTTAATCTATTTTGAGTCCAGTGTAGAAAACACATAAATGTGTATGTTCATGTGGAAGGTCTAGTGCAACATAACATCATGATTTTTGAAATAATGAACCACGACCAATTAGAGGGCTAGTAATTGTTACATCATATAAATCTGAATATATTATAATACCAAATATAAACATATTTATTAAGAATTATCAGTATTATATAAGTATAAACCATAAATGTTCTTGATTTTCTAGCTCTGATTCTGTGTCCCATTCATTTGCATTTTGTTATTCTCAGTCAAAAATTCAACTTTATTCACAGATATTTTATATTGTGAACGGATAATCTTTTATTGAATAGTGTATTTAAATTTTGAAATTTACAAAATCTGAAAGAGGAAAATGTTTTTGTTCAATCCCCCCTATTCTTGATCCAACCTTACACTATCCTAACAATGAAGTGTGGATCAAGTTGTCTTGTAAAGTTCTTGGAGGGTTCAAGAAAATTTTGTTGACTAGATCAAAGTCAAGAATGACTTAGGCTTATTGATACGAAAGCTTGTACGTGATAGGAATCACGAGGAATCTGTGCTCTTAAATTGCATACTTGTCAAATTTTCTCACCAAGATATGCACACAATGTGATTCCAGATGATAAAGTTTGAGAATTTTCTTGCTAATAGAATGACATTTCCACCCAAAAAGATAACAAATCTATACGGTCACAAAATAGAAAGCTGCATGTCTTGAATATCAGAGATTTTTTATACCTCCGCTTGAAAAGCGGAAGGATATAGTAATCGGTAAGTCCGTCCGTCTGTTAGCTTTGGGGTACCCATCTCTTATCGGCAACTTTTCTCATACCACTGGATGAAATTTGATGAAACTTTCACAGAATCTTTATACATATTGCCATTGTGCATCTCCTATTTTACTTGTTCTCATAGCAAAACATGGACACTGTCATTATATACATATGGGAGGCGGGGGTATCATTTAGTGAGCTCATTGCTCACATTACCTCTAGTTCATTTTGCATAAAGTTTTGGAAAACAAAATGTATTTTTAACATTTGAACATGTGTTGTTCCTTGGGTGTTGGAAATACCAAAATTCTAAAGACAGAAAAACTGATACCTATAGCAAATAATGCTGGAATAGAAGATGTTAGGGGATAATACTATAAAGCTCTCATACAATGAAGCGCATTGAAGTGGTAAAATTTTCCGTTTGGATGAAACGTTCTGAGTCATGCTTTGAACGTCAATTATAATATAATGACACGCCCATTGTTTTAGGACACCCCACTCTTCGCGACAAAGAACATGAGTTACACTGAAATGGAGCTTTAAAAAATTGTAGAAAGAATTAGAGACTCCCCACTTCTCTAAAACTCAAATTGCAACAAATATGAACATATTTTTGAAGTTATCATGTCTATCGAAGTTACCACAACACATGTTTCGGTCGAACACGCGTTTACTTGGTGTTTATTTAGACTGTCAATTTGATTGGCTACTATATTTATGGAAAACCTGTTCTACAGGTATTCTAATGAACAAATTGACCGTTTTATCCATTTCTTAAGAAATGGGCGTGTCATAAAATGACAATAAACGTTCTAAAGATAGCTCAAAACGTTCCATTCGAACGGAAAATTTTACCACTTCAATGCGCTTCATTGTAAGTGCTAATTTCAAAAGCTAATACAAAGTGTTCGATGAAACGTACAAGAATTTCTTCAATTATACTTGATGGTGTGATGAGGGATGTTGAAGTGGAGTTGATAATGACAGCGATTCAGGAGTGATTTTAGGTGGACGGGGACTCAAAAGCTTTGGAACACGGTCAAATACGAGGGGGAAAATTTGGAAAGCCTTAAGTCGATTTTGTTTAAATATATCAAGAAAAAATGAAACTATTCTAGTATTTTTTGTTTGTTCATATTAAATGAACTAATCAGTATACTATATGTAAAAGTAGAGGTACTGTGAGCAATGAGATCACTAAATGATACCCCCGCCTCCCATATAGATATAATGACAGTGTCCATGTTTCGCTACGGGAAACCCAAAATATGTGTCGGATCAAAAAGTAAAATAGGAGGTCACCATGGCAATGTGTAATAAAGATTTTGTGAAAGTTACATCAATTTTCATTCATTGGTATGAGAGGAGTTGCGAATTAGAGATGGGTACCCAAAAGCGTAACAGACGGACAGACGGACGGACGGACATACTGATTACTGTATACCCTCCCGCTTTTCAAGTGAGGGGTATAAAAACAAACCGTTGCAAAACGACTCAGAATTAAGCAGGTTGAGTATTATATGAAATTCGAGTGTATATGACGTCATTTTGATTCGCCATTTCGAGCTTATTAACACATTCCAAATTTAAACGACTAAATTTTTGAATTAAAGTGATAATGTGTGTTCTATTGTCGTTTTACATAGTTGTACTACGCTCAGTACGATATTCACAAATCTTTTCTCCTATGTAAACGACATTAAGAAATAATTTGAAAAAATGAATATCCACCATTTTGAATTGCCATTTTGACTTTTAACTTACAGATGCATCATCATTCAATTGTAGAATAGTGAGATGCAGAGGAAAAAATACAAATCTGCAGTGTATGGATATTTGCAAAATTTTAAAGTAAAATCCTAAACAAAGCAGAAAATAGAAACAATAGACAAATAAATCAGAGAAAATTCGAATTAAGCGAAGAAACGACTAAATTTTCTGAGTTAAACTAGTAATGTTAGCACTCTATTATCATTATTATAGTTGTATTACACTCAGTGAGATATTTACACATTATTTCTCCATTTTGAACGATATTAGGTGAAAATTAGAAACATTGGATGTCCGCCATTTTGAATCGCCATTTTGACCTCTTTAACGCCATTTTCATGAAGGCCAGCATATTTTTTCGGATTCAGCATACTTGAATTAGGTTAAAAAACTATGCTGGACCAAATAATAATTATTTGCCGTTAGAAGTATTTTTTCTATAAATCGGACCAGACTATAAACCATAAAAACACACAGGCACAAAATATGAAGAAAACTTACTCGTAAGTTGCATCCAGGTAACACACACACACTTACACACACAAATAGACACACATGCAAAGAAGAATCTGAAATGAATGGATCATTAGAATTTATAAATAAATAAATCGAATTGGTAACTATTATATATTTTATATATTTTTGACTAGATTGAATTATTGTAAAGATTTTAATTAAATACAATTTTGGATTAGAAAATGTCTTGTTCATTAAATTCAGGACTTTCAAGTATCACTGAGAAACTGCAATTATTTAGAATTCTTATGCCGAGTACTTGTCAATCATGTCGTGAGAAACAGAATGAAGTGTCCCTATTATCTTAAATATAATTTTGTCTGGGACTTTTAAAACAGATAAGAAATATTAATTCCATTGAAATGTTCTTATCTTTCTGTAGATTGTAATTGTAGCAATTTTTTGGGACAGATTTTAGGGGAAAAGATAATTTGACATATTTGTATAGATGTATGAAGCTAAAAAAATTGTTGTACTGTCAGATAAAAATCCAGATAATGTAGAAGAGTGCACAATACAGTTCCGAGCCATTCAGCAGTCGTACGAAGTCCTGAGTGATCCTCAGGAGAGGGCGTGGTACGATAAACACAGAGAACAGATTCTACGAGGGGGTGAGTGTAACAGCTAGATACAATGTCATGTACTGAGCCTTATTTCAACAAATTCTGTAATCGTCTGGGGAATTATTTCTGGACAGGAATGGGACAGGGAGATAAATATGAGGACAACAGTTTGGATGTATTCCAATACTTCAACTCCTCCTGTTACAGCGGCTTCTCTGATGATGACAAGGTGTGTACACTCTACTTAGTTTATGTCATTACTGATGATAAGGTATGTGTCTGTTCCTTACTATATGTATTATTCTACATGTCCAGTTAAGTAAGTAGGGCGCTAGTTAAGTTAATTAAGCATGAGATCTTTGTAGGAGCTTCTATTGTGTACTAAGAGACTCCAGATCTTACAACAGTCATCATAGCATTAATGTTGAAAAATGTTTTGATATATTTTCAAACTTTGAAAAAGATCGATTTGTCTGAGAAGAAAAGCATTCTCTGTTTTATTTTCATCTTTTTCCCTTGTATTTTGTATTAATAGCTGATGTCATTCGTTCCTTTACTCTACTGAATAACTTGAACTTAAATAATTTGAATTCAAGATTGAAATAAAACCTCTGTATCAACATATGTAATCATTCCTTTGTTGTAAGGGTTTCTATGCCGTGTATCGAGTGGTGTTTGATCTGCTGGCAGAGGAAGACTATGAGTTTATGGACGATAAAGAGAGTGATCAGGAAATCCCGGGATTTGGAAAAAGTGACAGTCCTTATGACACAGTATGATATCTTTTTTTTATCTATGTAGGGAAGGATAACAATAAAATATACCTGGTCTCATTGATATCTTAATAATATGCTTAAATGTGTCATCTGTATCTTTTGAATTAGAATTTTGTGAAGAACATCATACATCCATAAAGTATTTGGATTGTTGCAGGTGGTGAAGCCATTTTATGATTATTGGGAGAACTATTTCACTGCTAAGTCTTACGTATGGGCAGAAAAATATGACACAAGAGAGGCACCTGATCGTAGAGTGCGCAGGATCATGGAGGCGGAGAATAAAAAGTTACGAGATGCAGCTCGAAAAGAAAGAAATGAGGAAGTCAGGGTAGGAAAAGTTTTCTTTTTTGTTTCTCGTCATCTTGAATATCATCAACAGATGTTGTTTTTTTTTTTAAAAATCTCTTGAAAATAACTTAGATATTTTACTTAACTTATACTATGTAACTTAACTTATTAGTTATTACAAGTATATTATGATGTGACCTTTGCATTTCCAGGCTTTGGTCCGATTTGTGAAGAAGAGAGATCGCAGAGTACAAGCTTACAGGGTAAAAAATGGATTTCTTTGATTTCATTGTTAGATAATAAGTTTATGTCAATGTTTATGCATATAAGTTGAAACATTTAAAATCAAAAGAGATAGAAATAAAGATACTATATTCAGATTTAAAAAAAAAAAAATTATTGAAATTTAAATTTGTAGAAATTAATGGAGGAGAGAAATGAAGAGATTGCCCAGAAAGCCAAGGAAAAAAGAGAGCAGCATCTTAAAGAGAGGCAGAGGTATGTAAATATCTATACAGAGAATCAGATGATGAAGTAGATACATGATTGTATATGGAGGAAAAAAGACTGACTCTCACAGTAGAGCAAAGGAAGAAACTGAACTGACAACAGATTTTCTCACACATATAGAGGCATGTTCAAAGGAGTGAACATTCATGAGCCCTCGCCATATTTCCTTATACCTCCAATCGAGTGTGTATGTTGAACTGGCCTCAGATTTAAGGCTAAGGTCACATCCCCTCTCCCCCAAAAAGAAATGAAAATAACAGTCACTCTGGGATTTTCTACTTCATATAAACGTGAACTGATAGAATGTTATAAATCTTATATAAGGTTAGTTCAGATTTTGAGGGGCATTTATAGATAAAACTAATAACAGGCTATAAATTGGAAAAGGAGAAACTTAAGCTAACACCTGTGTTTTTTACAGACTGGTGGAGAATTATGAAGAAACAGGTTGGTCAGCCATGACTGAGCTAGAGGACGATCTGAAGAGATTGGAGACAGAACTGGGTGACCATTTTGAAGGTTGTACATCATAAAGGGAGAAAAACAAAAACTCAATAGACGGGGATTAACAAAAGGGTGAGGATAGGGGGATTAGACACAAACGGGTTCACGTGAACTAACACACTACTGACAGACAGACCAAGGCTGCAATCATACAACTGACAAACAGACAGACAAAATCTCACTAACAATTATAGTCAGATTTAAAAGATCCATATTAAGTGCAAACTGAAATTTTTCAAGATATTATTATTGTGTTAGATGTATAAATTTTTTACAACTTAATGAAATATTAAATGATACACCTACTATCTGGCAATGGCCACAGAAGCGGGTCAGAATTATACATAAATCTGATTATGAGAGGAGAGTGGTCACAATAAAATAAATATGGAAGCTGATCTATTTCTTAATTCAGTGTAGATTTTGCTTTGGATTGGGGGGGGGGGGGAAGGGATATTGTTTACTTGGGCTATTTCTTTTTTTTCTCTTTGGCTCTATTCCCAACTTGAAATCAAAAGGGTCATGTTTTTATTTATAGATGACAGAGCTTTGAACACAGATGAAGAAGAGGAGGAGGATTATGTAGATGAACTTTTCTGTGTGGCATGTAACAAAGCTTTCAAAAGTGAGAAGGCGTAAGTAGGCAACTGCATTGGTTTCTGGTCCTCAGTTTCCACAAAATGCTATCTCTTGAATCTTGATCTAATTATCCACATTTGTAATATTTATGCTAGAAAAAAAATATCTTTCTGGAAAAATATAGGGTAATAGGCTTGCTTCTTTAATCAAAACGTGTATAGAAGTAACATTAATGACCAAGCATTTGACTTAATATTTGACCCAAATTTTCTTGAAAAGCTTGCAAAGTTCTATAACTGGTTGAAATCTAGCACATCATGAGACAAAAGCATTAAAAAAAATATTCGGCACATAGAAACAAACATATTTTTTTTTATTTAGCTTTATTTATTGGTAGTTTTGTTAACCATGAGAAATCAAAGAAACACAAGGAGAATGTAGCGGCTCTACAGGAGGACATGAGGAGAGAGGATGAGGATCTAGTGGGAGTGGATCCAAACATTCCAGGAGTGGGGGAGGATCCAGACATTGAGAGTCCAGAGGAAGAATCTCCGTCCAAACAGAAGTGGGTGATTATTTCATTGAGTACTTCATATCTACTAATAGACTTTTACGAGGAGCGCTGACTTTTACAGTTGCATTACTCTCACACTAGGACAAAATACGATATAAATATTTAGCTCAAAATTTAATTCAGCGAAAAAAATGGACTATTTCAAAGCATAGGTAAGTTGTCCTTAAAGAAAAGGTCAAATCTAGGCCTTCACATATAAGTGCCCCTAACACCATTACTATGACCACAAGAAAGGTTTTTATCTATTATCAATTTTTATGATACAGGTTTAAATGTCCAAATAAAAGTCAATAAAGTCACTTCCAATAGGGACTGCTAAATGAAAATGTGTGGTTTAATATCACTTGAACAAATTCAAGGTCATCGTAATTGTCAAGTTTTACAAGGTATGCATATTATTGATCAGTAAAATGCACTTTTCATCAAAAGTGTGGACAATGGTTTAGCAGGAAAAGAGACTTCACCCTTATGGATAAATTCTGGGAAAAAATTGGGGGAAATTTTGATAGTGGTTATCATATGCATGAAATAAATAGTTTTCTGCAAGATAAGGTCTTTTTCATGGAGATTTACATTAACCAAGGGAAAAAAAAGATAATGTGAATATAAATTGCAAAAAATAATTGCAACTCTTCACCAAAATACATTCTTTACAATGACTAAAATCAAGTAACATTTCCTGTTTTAAAAGAAAATGCAAAATTAGTGTTGTAATGTATGGTAAACTTATATGATCAGAACCTAACTTCATTAATTTTAAAAGCAACTAGTGCTAATTGTAAATAACCGTTACAGATGTTCCCCAAACGCTCGCCAACTTCATTTTAGTGACTCATTCCCTCTACCTTCATCAAATAAACTAAAACTCTATGCATCTTAAACTTAAACAACGTTTTTTCTGAAATATAACAAGTATAGCAAATTTTTGCATTGTACGTGCGCACACTTGCATGCATATGCGGAATGACCATATCATTGTATCTACACTATTAATTCATTTAAATGTACTTAATATCAAGGCATTTAATCAAAAAGTATTCGAAAATACGCTAAATCAAGTGCGTTTGTAATTATATGTATTGCACGTGCATGCATATGCATGATGACCATAATCTCTTGGAGGGGTCTATTAAGACTATCTATATTCTAAATCTCATCCTGTTTGGCTGTAAACCAAGGGAGTTACAACCATTTAAAGTTTTAGCCAATCAGATTGCAGCGCACGTGCATGCGCGTGAAGAAAATTATTTTATATCATATCGTAGGATATCTTAATGCATGACTATGTTTTAAATTTCAAAGTATTTCGTCTAAAAACAAATGAGATATTGAGATTTTTGTTTCAGCCAATCAGAGCGAAGCGCACGTGCATGCGCATGAGTTCATGATAATTTGACCATGTCGTCTTGTCTATAATACTAATTCATTCTTATATTCTGAGTTTTAACACATTCCATCAGAAAATAGAAAAGTTACGGCTATATCAATTATATAGGTCATTTTACATGTTGCTCGTGCGCGCTCTTGCAAGCACGTGCGCGCAAAATGACCTTGATTCCGCAAATCTACATAACATGTCTACTTACTAAAAAGGTTTTAACTACATCAGATGAACAGTTTACAAGATCATTCGCGGACAAATAAGTACCCAGGAAGAAGAAAAATAATAATAAGAAACAGAGTAAAAACAATATGTTCCCCAACTTCGTTTGGGGAACATAATAAATAGAATCAAAGGATATTGAAGTTATTTCTCAGTCAAATTGTGTATCGGTAACATCTCTTTATTTAATTATTTATTTTAGATTATCAAAGAAACAAAAGAAGAAGAAGAAACAACAAAATTTGATACCTCAGGTGAGGATTTGGTTTATCTTGAGAATAAAACATTGAAAGCATTCCTGTAGTTCATAGTTAATTCACTTAATGACATCTATAAATGTTTCATTTATAGTCCTATTGAATATCAGTGTTGGTATCTCAGTCAGTGATCTTGTGAATATTTTCTCATCCTGATGACAAACTCTCTAGCTTGTAAAAGTGTAAAACAACACATTAGATTTAATTCTAAAATATTATAGGAAAGACTGTTTAATCTTATAATGTATTAGAATTAAATCTTATGTGTTGTTTTCTTAATTATTTGCACATCACATTAGGTTTTAAATCATAATGAGTAACACAGTAACACTTACTGTTTATTTTTATTTCAGGATGTAGAAGATCTAAATAACATTGTAGACAATCTAGAACTGAATGACGCTCCAGCTAAACAGAGGTACATGTTTTACTTTATGTGTTAACTTCATCTGACTGATAGTTCAGAATAATGGCTTTTTTAGATTTTAAGGAAAACCTATTCCAGAGGTGTTAACTGGTAGCGAAAGATTTTGTACAAATGATTATCTTGACAATAAATAATTGACTTTCAAGTTGTTTATCAATATGTGTCATTCTTTAATGTTATTGAATTCTTTGCAGCACAAAGTCCAAAAAAGAAAGAAGAAAAGAAAAAGAGGCAAGAATGAGAGAGGAGAAGGAGGTATGATAATTTTATATTTTCTTCATACATGAAAAATTTAAATTAAGAAATTCTTTACAATTTTTACATTGTTTCATTAAAGGCAGAGAAAGCTTTGAACCAAGAAAGTCAGGAAGAGGACCGACTCCTAAACCAGGAACCGGAATCTGCTGCCGAGAGACTGGCAGGAACCGGACCGGAGGACATTTCTACCTCAAAACCAGTCAGTAGTACAGAGTCAACAAACAGAAAGGGAAAGAATAAAACACAGGCTGATCTGGTAATTATTCATTTTGACTGGATCATTTGTAATCCTCTTGTTAACGATTACTTGTATTTATTTAGACGAAAAAAAACAAAGTAAAATTTTCATTACTTTCATGTAAACCAATGTGTAGTGGCAGTACCATACTGAATAATCAGTTGAAATAATAACTAATTACAATAACTATAGTCTTTTTTAATGATGATTTTCTCTTTATACATACATTTAATTATTTTATACTGTAAGTATTAATTGCATATTCTACTTAAATAATTCATCTGAAAATTATAAATGACAAGTCATAACTGTTTGGTTTCTCAGTTTACTTGATTAGAAACATTTACGACCAACATTTACAATTGCCATCCCTAAAACTTGAACATTTGATTACCAAAATATATATAAATGGCATTTCTTTTGAAATTCAATTTCTTTTGTAAATTTTTCTATTTTGGAATGAGGAGTTTTCTAGTAACATTTTAAATTTCAATTCTTCAGGAGATGAAATGCAATGTGTGCCAAGAAGTATTTCCGACTCGGAACAAACTGTTTACACACATAAAGGAACAAGGGCATGCTCTGAGAGTGGAACAGCCTCCGTCATCAAATCAGGGGAAGAAAAAGAAAAACAAGAAATAATGAAGAAAGAAATTAGTCATTATTAGTAGAAGTGAAGAGAACTGTGATTGATCTCAGTTGTGATAATTAATGTCTCCAAACAATTCCAACATTGAGGATAATCTGGCCCCAAGGCCATTAACTGAGTTAATAAAAAAAAATTTGATATTCAAAATTTCCATCCTGTGCTTAGATTTGAATATACAAATACAAACATGTGGTCTTATTAATCTGTATGCAAAATAATAATCAATGATATTAAGAAACAAAACTTAAGTCTGCTTCCAGTTTATGGCCTTGAGGCCAGATTTTGTGAATTGCACCATCTTTTTGTCCATCAGGAGTTTCTTTACCTTCAGTTACATTGATGATTACCATGTTGTTGTCTTGTCATGAAGTTTTATCTGACACTGCTCTGGTGTCTTGTATCTCTGGTGACAGGTTTATGACAGAACTTGATTGATTATTGAGGGATGGGGAGATTAAGAAATAAATAAAATCAGTTTGGAAATACTAGTATCTCAAAGATATGCGAAGGGATATTTGTTTTTATTAAGTGAATGCTTGTTGCAAATGGATTTTGCTATTAAGATGTTTTATAGATGTACAAGTTAAGTTATAATAAAAATGTGTTTTAATAATGGATAATTTTTTGTGATATATAATTCGGATTGTTGCATGTTGTGAAAGTATCTTCCAAAATAGGTAAAAGGACATACTCTTTAGGGTAATATTTCATTATTTATTTAGTTGAATACAGGTCTTGGATTATAAAACGTAAACTGACCCAAACCAGGTTACTGTAGACGTACTTTTTTTCCACAAGGTCATAATTCCGCGGAATAACAATTTCTGTTTAATCCATTGGAAGAAATTTACGCGGATTTTCTAGATTGTCACTATATGCATTACATTAATATAAGTACGCTTGGACAAATTTCTGCGGAAAAGTTGTGACCGCATACATAGCGTAAATTAATACCACGCGGAAAAAAAGTACTTCTACAGTATACTCAAATAACTTGTCCAAGAAGTAGAGTCATTCCTTAAATAAGATCTGCAGTACAAATACAAATTACTCAAAATAGGATCTGTTATAAGAATACCAAACTCAAAATAAGAATTGAAATTAATCAAATTGGATCTGTAAATAATATGGATACAAATTACTCGAAATAAGATCTGTTATTTGTGTACAAATTACTTAAAATAACTGTACTTTAATAAGATGAATACAAATTACTCAAAATAGAATCTGTTATTTGTGTAAAAATTACTCGAAATAACTGTACATATAATAATAAAAATATGGATACAAAATAGGATTTGTTAGTTGTGTAAAAATTACTTAAAATAACTGTACATGTAATAATAAAAATATGGATACAAATTACTCAAAAAAGGATCTGTTAGTTGTGTTAAAGTTACTGAAAATAATTGTACACTATTATTACATATGAATACATATTACTTAAAATAGGATCTGTTATTTGTCTAAAAAATTACAAAAATAACTTAGATAACGAACAGTATTCAAGCTCAAAAGTCCATTTAACAATACAAAATAGGAGCAGAGCAAACACAAACCTCCAAAACATCAGAGGTTGGATCAGGTGCCATGGAGGAGTAAGCATCCCATACAAACTGGTCACACCAGCAGTGTAGTCCTTGTCATGATTGGGAAATAACAGGAAATCTGTTGTCAATTCATAATAATAATGGACTAACAACTAGTATGAAAAACATCAGTCAGCATTTGACACAATGATAGACTGTTTTGCCGAAATGATTATTGTATCAACCAAAGAACTTACCATCTTTGCTAGCCAAGTGTCCGATTCGTTTCCCTCATCTCCCAGGTGATGAGAGAAATGAATGAAACAAATCAGACACTTAGCTAGCGAAGATGAGAACTTACGAAATGATGACTTTAAATGAGACTGCTATTTTTGTTTCATCAACTTGTATATATATATATATAGAGCATGCTCTTGCATATCGAATCAACTCAGAGAACTCTGTATGCAAGTGATGAAGGTATATTGCTGCAGAAGTAAGAGAAGTTGTTATTGAAAAGTTAGTCATCATATTTATTCGTAGAGCTTGGTTTTTAGATTACCATCAACATCTTTTTCAAGTAAAATATCCAAATATGAAACAGATGTGTCAGACTCCGCGGTATCTTTTATCTCAAGCTCACTGGGATATATTGTATCAACATAAGAATGGAAAAAACCACTGTGAAATGACAATGCACAGTCGATATATCTGAATGTTGAGTTGAAGACCACAGCAAGTGTTTTCTTTTTGCAAGGATTTGGTCAAATTCTGCTTGATATTATACAAAAATAGATCTGCTAATAATGGGGTGCAATTGGTACTAATGGGAATTCCAATAAATTGTTGAAACACATGGTCTCCAAACACCTCATAGATATGTCATCTTTTTGATGTCAGCTTCAGAGTACTTACAAGTACAATCAGAACGTTTTAACAAAATGATATCAAAAAGCCTGGACTTTAATTAATCTCTGGAGTTATAAAACTGAAAAGTACTTAGAATGATCTTAACCAGAACTCGAATTCAGAGATATGTTTGAAAAAGAAAAATGTTTTATGTTCCTCGACTGACCAGCAACGGGTGGGACTTGTTTTTGATTACGAAGCCCAGTATTCTCGTCAGTGTAGCAATCTGTATTTTATTGAATTCATATCGGAGTGACCTTTGGTAAGAGCACAGAGCAGCCTCGAGATTCGAAGGCCCCGAAATCTGCTGACAAATCCCAAGGATCTGCCATGATATGTCTTTAAGATGTACGGGTACGTACTTCCCCTCATCATAATTCACTAAGGTATATAAGGCATCTAAAGCTGTCTGTGCTCGTGCCGAGTCAACATGTCTACTGCATAGAAAATCCAACATGTGCATGAGGACATGTGGTGGAACCATTAGTCCATCCCTCTGTCCCCCGATGGTACACTGTAGTTCTAACATTAATTCGTTGACGTACGGTATGTCTGCAAGAAGCATAATGTTATGGACCACAGCCTTTCTCATCTTCGTAGACCAGGACTGTCCTCCGAGCGCCGCTATATAACTCTCCACGTCCACATGTATCCAATGCATCACATGCGGCTGTGACAGCCTGGCCTTTGTCATCTCAATTACGGATATGGCTTTCTTGTATCTGAATGTCTTGTAGTAATACATGGCAATGTATAACATGTCAGAAATCAACCCAAACTTGGCTGTAGCTTTCAACATGTTACAAGACATTTTGTCAGCAGCGTACATCCATTTATTGTCTCTAGTACCTGTGTACTCTGTATGCAACATGAATGCAATTAAGTGAAGTGTAGCTGCTAACATTTTTTGTAACATGACAATTTCATACGGTGAAGCTGGTGAAATTATCAATTGTTCGATTTTTCGAAGATATTTCAAACTTTTTTGAAATTCGGCATTGCGCAGATCAAAAGTGGTCAAATTACTGAATAAATCAATATCAAACTCGATTTCAGACGTCAGGTAACGCTCATCTATACAAACGGAACGCCTAGGATTGCACAGAACTTGTACGATATGTGATCGTATGGACGGACTCCGTAATAGGGATGCCATACCTGTCGTGTATAATGAATGCAACCATAAAAATAATCTATTTTGTGCCTCCCCGTATATCTTCACTAAAAACATGTTGTTTTGAGGAATGAAAAAGTTAGGACAGACCCCCTCGTACACACACTTCAGGATGACTTTAAAACAGATCCAGAAACACTCCAAAAGATTATGTGTACTCCAGCATGGAATGGTGTTTTCTTGAATTACCCAAAACACAACTGTTTTCATGTGATAGGAACAAAGTAGTTTGGTATTGTCTTCTGCCGCTCCGTTATCCTCTGACCGACAAATTATGACCTCCTTCAAGAACAATTTTAACAATCCGTAAGTCAAGAACTGGCAGTGATTCATCGAGTACACAAGTTTCTGTTCTGCCAGAGAAAAAGAAATTCTCCATTCTTTACTTTGATAATGTCCTAGTGGATGTCCAACTGGTACCAAGTGGCATCCTCTCTGAACGATATCTACCACAACATGAGCTGGAGGCCACACGTGACATCTTTCTATCCATAACGAGGCAGCTGGAGGCCAAAAATCAGAGGCAAGACAGTAAGCATTATCAAAATCTACTCCAACTACATTCCCGCTTCCACAGGGCCCGCTGAAGGTAGAAATTTGGAATTTGGAACACATAACCTTCTTGTAGGCTGAACTAGAAATATAAGCTCTTCTTTTCATTATGAAACAGGCCAAGAAAATATCTCTGTTCCAAGGTGGTGTCAGGATTTGAAGCAGAGCAAATCCTGGCGGACTTATAGAACATTCACCGAATATCATGGTTTTTCCATTTACATTTTGAAATTGGCGCCGGTCCCAGATCACCTGATGATCAATAGGCCAAAACATCCTGTCTACATCTGATCCTGTCAATCTGAACCCTTCTCGTCGACTTCCACTCATCATGTACCTCTGGTTATTATTGGGTTTCCCTTGTCTTTTCACTGTCTCATCAATGTCCACCACATCTCTCCTCATGGCGACTTGTTGTGGGGTTCCTATTTTAGAACACAGTCCCACAAACACAGATTCCGACATGTGCTGGATGCCTTCATATCTGAGAGAAAAAGTAAAATGAATTTTGAGAATAAAAATTAAAAGGTTGCAACATGAGCGAGGAGTATGATATTGAAAATTGCTATGTCATATTTATATTCTTTGGTTGTATTTTCTCCAAACACCAAAACTTTACCTATTTTTAGCCTATACTGCGAGGTGTCTGTGGAAAGTGGGGGGGGGGGGGGGGCTAAACCAACGAAACAAGGGTCAATGTCTATAAAAAGTATATATTTGGGGAAAAAGTCTATATTCTAAGCCCCCCCCCCCCCCGCGACATTATGTATTCCCATATACTAACAACCAACGAAACACATTTGATTGTTTTAATTTGTATCTGTATAAATAATCATTTAAAGTATGAATAAATTCTAGGTACATTATTGACAAACAAGTTGATGAAACTAGAATATCAGCAGTCTCGTTTAAAGTCCTCATTTCGTAAATTCCATGGTCGATCATACAATGAGCTTGACAGCCAATACAATTAATCTTTATATGTGAAATGCTGACTGACTTTTTTCATGCTAATTGTTAGTCCATTTTTTACGCTGAATTGACGACGCATTTTTCCGTTATCCAAGGTGGGTGTGACCGGTCAGCAGGGGATGCTCACACCTCCATGGCATCTGATCCCACCCTGTAGTTTTGGAGGTTCATGTTTGCTCTGCTCCATTTTGTATTCTTTGATACTTGAATACTGTTCGTTATCTCCATAGATTTAATAATTGCATGAGTGATGTGTATATGCTTTGTTCGTTTCATTGATGGAACAGCCACTAATCAAGTACAGCTGGTATGCCGTGTGTTGCTCATAAACTGATTAATAACAATGTTTTTTTTAAGAAATAAAGTTAAAAAATATTCATTCAGTGGATGTAAACATAATTGTATAAACTATAGTTCAATGCTTCGAATTTTAACACGGTCAGATTTTTTTTTAATATTGGGACTCCGATTTGACTGTATGTTGCTTTACCTCTCCTAAAACCTAAAAGTTATTATCAATATTCAGATCTCCGACAAAAGAAAGAGTCAAACGAAAACACGTGTTTTAATAAATCTGCGTTGACGTTCTTCCTCATTCTACATCACAAAGATTTTTCTGTTTTAGTAAAAGTGCCATAAGCACCATTTTCTCATAGGCACAATCTTTGAGTAAAAGTAACACTATAACTAGAGTAACACTGTGATTAAATCTATGTAACTTTAATACATAGTCGCTCCTATCGTTTATCACCATCACATAAACTTGACGTTCTAAACCCTTTTCTTCACTGCAATTTAAGATGTAGTAAAATAATTATATAAAACGGATCATATTTAATACCAACTGCTAGTCTTTTGATTTATACAAAGTCTGAACACGGCTTAATCAATATACCGGTATCTTCTCAATACATACGGACATTTGGCGCGTGCGAGCTGTCGACAGGGACTCTTTCCTCATACGCACCTGATCCCACCTCTGGGTATTCCATGGACACTTGTTTCATGCGTACTAGTAAATTAATATTGTTTGGCGGTTAAGGGTTATATGCTACGATATACCAGACAAAAGTCCCCAGATACATCTCACCAGTAGAAGAGTTCACTATAATCAGCTGATAATTATAGGTTCAAAACAGATTTAAAAAATAAGTGAAAAATTAAATTTACATGCCGAATGGTATACACATACATTGTATACTTATAGGTTCATAGGAACTCGTTTACTCTTTCCGCATATTTTACACCCAAAAATTACAAACTTGCCATTGCGTGACAAAAAAAAAAAAAAAACACCAACATTTTACTCACAAATGAAGACATTCGCTAAGTTATATATATTAGCATACTTACACGGCTGGTGGAAAGGAAGCCATTTTTTTTATTCAAAGAAAAATTCTCAAAGCTAATATTGGCTCTGGGGAATTTATTTGGTAATTTAAACGTCACACTTTCAGTTTGTATTTTCTAATGGAACTTTAAAAAATGAGTTAATGGTCTATTGGTCTTTCAATACATCAGTCGATCCTAACCATAGCGTACACAGTTTCCTTAAGATTCATTGCAAACTAGACAACAGTTTTCCATATGTTTCTTTCATTTTCTCATGAATCGCCACGGTTTTATCAACCAGACGATTGATATTCTTTTTCATTATTGAAGAAACAAGAACATTGAACAGAGTCTCGTTTCAAAACATTACGTGTATTCCGTATTTTATATAGATTGGCCTTAAATCTGATGGATAAAATCTAAAAACAATTGCAGAAATAAGAATTGCGCCCCGTTATTAGCAGACCTATTTTTGTATTCAAATGAAGCAGAATTTGTGCAAAACCTTATGCCTGAAAAGAAGAAAACACTTGCTGTAGCCTTCAACTCGACTTTTAGATATTATATCGACGACGCATTGTCAATTAACAATTGTGATTTCCATTCCAATGTCGATACGATATATCCTGGAGAGCTTGGGATAAAAGATATCACAGAGTCTGATACATCTGTTTCATACTTGGATATTTTACTTGAAAAAGACGTTAATGGTAATCTAACAACCACGCCCAAGATGAACGTGATGACTTTGACTTTTCTATCGTTAACTTCCTTTACTTATGCAGTAATATAATTTCGTCACCTGCATACGAAGTGTATATATCTCAGTTGATTCGATACGCAAGAGCATTCTCTACGCATGAACAATTTTTAAAACGAGGTAAATTTTTGACAAACAAGTTGTTAAACAAGGATATAAGCAGTTTCTATGGTCGATACAATGACCTTGTCAGCAAATACAATTTATCATGGAGTCAAATGCATTGACAACGGATTTTTCCGTTATTTCCCGATCATGACAAGGAGCACACGGCGGGGGTGACCAGTCAGTAGGGGATGCTCACTACGCCATGGCACCTGATTCCACCTCTGATGTTTCGAAGGTCTGCGTTTGGTCTCCTCCTATTTGTATTGTTTTACGGACTTTTGATCTTGAACATTGTTCGTTATCTCCATATGTTTCCTTCATGAGATTGAATGTCGAAATATTTAAATGTCGAGTTGAAGGCCACAGCAAATGTTTTCTTCTTCTCGGATTTTTTTGAAATTCTGTCTTATATGAATGCAAAAAGTTCTGCTAATAACAGGGCAAAATTGGTACCCATGGGAAGTCCAATAGATTGTTGGTACATAATGATTGAATAACTATAAAGCTGTTGCCATTCAGAATTACTACTATCATCCTTTTTCGAGTTTAATTCCTGTTCACGGAGTTTCCACAATTGAACTCACTAGTGAACTAATAAAAATTTTAAAAAGTATTTTTATCACTTCACCATCGGTCACGGATTAAAGAACACATTTTGTTTAACATGAATGGTGTTTTGTACTTTTTAAAAGACTTAAGAGAACTATAACGAAAAATGTTTTGTTCGTTTTCTGTTTTGCGACAATGTGTGGCATTTCTGCAATAATCTACCGGTATCTTTTATGTATGTGCATATAGATCTCACTATAATTATCGTTCTTTTAGCACAGAAAAGGGTATTTTAAGAGCACATATTTTAAGCGCGGATCAAAGAACATTTGCAATTGACGGAAAGTTTTCAAAAAGAACAGAAAAACCGAAACATGAAGTTGGATGTCAGCCGAAAATTTGTTCATCCATAAATGAAATAGAGAGGTAATTTTTTTTTTCATCCAGCCCATAGGGTATTAATTCGTTTATATACCATGAAATTTCAAATGGAACAGGGGTCCGGGCTTAAAGAATTCACCTGTTAAGGAGGCTGGGGAGTCAACAAATTAATCACAAAGTAACCACCAGATTAAACTTATTTTTTTAGATATGGTATCTTATGCTGTCAACATTCATTTGACAAAGAAAAATTTCATAAATTCTAGTTTTAAATTTTGATCATTTTTGTATATCTTTATATGGAGCTCTTCTTTTAAAGGAGATCATAAAAGTCTGAAAATGGCTGCCACCCCCAGCCTCGTTAAATCAGTTCGTGATTGTACTCCTGAGAGAAGCGAGTCTTAGGTATGGCACGCCAAATGCACAAAAATGAGCAAAACATAGTTACACAGTCGATAAACTAGGTTTAACGGTTGTAAACTATAGTTTACGGACTGTAAACTATAGTTAACAACGTTAATCTATATTTTACATCCGTAAACCATAGTTAACGCGATAATCTATATTTCACAACCTAAACTATACTTAACACTGAAAACAATCATTTGCGATTGCAAAACATAGATTATCTGATAAATACAGTTTCACGATTTGTAAACTATAGTTTACAAACCGTTAACTATAGTTCACGATCTGATAAATATAGTTTCATACTTAGGGTCAAAGATTTAACAAATTAATACACCATATAGGCCTACATGGTTTACACAACAAATTAAATCCTTAAATCAATTCAAAATCTTAAATCAAATCTTAAATCAAATCAGTAAATCATTAAATCCTTTTTTCTCTATTCACTTCTTAAAAGATCTTTTAAGTTTCTTATTATTTCGTCGACTGTATAAAATGGAGACCTTCTATAAAAGATAATGTTCTCTGCGACTTGAAGTTTAATTTCTGCTTATACAGAACAGGTATATATAGGTATGTTTAAAAAACGAAAATGTTGAAACTAAGATTTACGATGTATATATATTTAATCTTTGTTCCCGAGGGACTTTGAAGCACTGTTATTTTTTAAGTGGATATAATTTAGTTTCATATTTACAGATAAAAAAGTAATAAATTGATATAACGTTGATCTGACAGATCACAAATCTGGATAAGAAGATGGATGCTCATCCAAGGTATGTATACGTATGTCACACTGATTGCCTTTGCTGATTGGCTTTTTACACTACTAAATAAAATAAGATGTAATAAGTAAAGCACCAGTAAAGTCAGCAAATCGTCACTGCCCAAATTTAATCCTTATTATACTACCGGTTGTAGAAGACTTGTGTCGTTAAAAGTTATCACATCGAAAATTCAGTTTAATGACCTTGTCTATAGTCTATAATTCTATCCATACAAATTGTTGGGCCATTATTATAAATATAATTTCTGCGATTTTTCCCGTTATTTCCCGATCATGACAAGGAGCACACGCAGGGTGTGTCTGGTCTGCATGGGATGCTCACTCCTCCGTTCGCACCTAGATCCCACCTCTGATGTTTCGGAGGTTCGTGTTTGCTCTGTACCTATTTTGTATTGTGTTATGAACTTTGAGCTTGAACACTATTCGATATCACCATAAATTTCATTGTTTATGTAGTTGCGCACCAACGTGCAAAAATATTGATTTTATTATACATGAAGCTGCGCTTATCTTTTATTTGACAATTTACTGCATGAGGTAAGGATCCTTCTAGTAAAATATACAAGGAGAAAAATCTACTGCATCTCTTCTTTACAACTCTTTTAAAATTTGTTTTGAAGCTCTAAAATGTGGGGAAATTAAGACTCGAACTTGAAAGAAAATGTTAATTGATCCCCTCTGTCTCTTTCTGTCATAAATGATCAGAAGATCAATCGACGACGTGTTGTCTATTAACAATGGTTAAAATTGAATTTTGTAACAGCCTATTATAATATATGGTATATATATACTAAAACGGAAAAGAAACGCAACACCATACTTTAATAGGCGGAAATAATTAGGTAAAGTAAATAATTTTGTATCTTCAAATTATGGATATCTTCAATTTGGCAAACATCGGTAATATAACGGCTTAACGATTTTCAGACCATAACCGGAAGTCAAGTTTGAGTCTGCTTAACAGAAATCAAAAATTGCATGTTTAACAAAATATTTGGCAATATTATGGAGTTTTAAGGGTTTGCACTGTTCATCTCAAGTAATACAGCAATATTTCAAAAAATAAAATCTCCTTTCGTTTCCAGTTACGATGCTAAGGCTTTTTGAAAATGTCTTATGTACGCATTTCCATTGCTCCAGCTGGAAAATCTCAACGTAAAGGTGATGGAGAGTTGATATTGCAAAAATACACTACATTACACCTCAACGGGCTCTTACTTATCATATGCATAAATAATAGTCCTTGGAACGGAAGTCCAAGGGTTACTACAATGCGCTAAGTTAGAGAAAATTCGACCTTATCATCTGAAAAACAGGCATTTAAAAATGGCAAAGAATAATCCTTCGCTCAGATCTCGATATTGATTAACCTACTGTATCGTAGAAATTAAGCTGCAATTGTTGTTTAGGGCAGTCTTGCACGTTGTGATTGAATGGCTGGGAGGGGAGTGTTTAATTAACAGTCATATGTTACTTAGTAAAGTTAAAAGATATACATTTTTTATCAAATCTCTGATGTTCTGAAAAGTGAGTTTAGCCTTACTGTATTCTTTTTTGAAAATCAAAAGATAAAAAATTCAAACATTTGTATATTAATGCTGTTGCGTTTCTTTTGCGTTTCAGTATATGATCTAACCAGGTTTTTTTGCATTTATTTCACTCTCATTTTTTTGGAAAATTGTTGTACTTTGCTGTAAGAAATATTTTTAGACTTTTGGTATACGAAAAATGTGAAATTTGAGGAAGTTATTTAGCCAAGAACTCGTCACTCCCACCCCTCATCCAGCATTACAGTAATGCTGACCATTCCTGGTAGTCAGAATAAACTTATTTGATCTCATATTAAATTCACTTCTTTTTCAGGGTGAGAAATGCAGCCATAAAGCATCCAATATGTCTTTCAATGGAATATCCAATATGTTGACAATAATATGTCTGACAATGGGGCCAAATATATTTGACAATGGAGTCATGAAGCAGCCGATTTTTGACAATGGAGCCATGAAGCATCAAATATGTCTGACAATGGAGCCATGAAGCATCCAATATGTCTGACAATGGAGCCATGAAGCATCCAATATGTCTGACAATAGAGCTATGAACAGTGGAGCTATGAAGCATCCAGTATGTTTGACAATGGAGCCATAAAGCATCCAATATGTCTCATCTGACACCCCAGTGTAAAATACGTCAGTGCTCTCGCTGTCATGAATGTGTCTCGTACTTCTGTAATACATGTACACAATATATCTGTATCAGATGTAAGAAAATACATGTTCTTGATATAGATACATGTGATCATGATATTATTATTTATCGTGAAAGGTATGCATCGAAGGTTAAATTTGAGGGTTGTCCCATCCACCCAAACAATCACTTTTCTAGATGGTGCCACACGTGTAACATTCCCTCATGCTACACCTGTGTCGAAATACATAAAGACCATGCAATCTCTAATATTAATCAAGAATATCTATCAATCCGAGAAAAGTGTAAAGGAATTGTAGCTAGAATTCGTGGTCAAAGGATTCCTAACAATATTGCCATAAAGAAAGAAATTGAGCTGGAAAAAGAGACGTTGCCAAAGGGAGTGACCATCTTTGGTCAAGGGCTAAACGAATCGGGAAGGAAAATGAAAGGCCATACTGAAAACATCGCGGCATCTAATACTTTTGGGAATATCAGAAAAAGATTGTTGTCTTTATTTTGGAAACAGAAGGTAAAATTGATTCGGCAAAATAATCTTTTACAGAAAATGGAAAACATCTATGAAGTTTCAGCGAACAATCCAGTTGAATACTTACAATTCGTAAAACACTTGCTAAAAGACAGATTTAGAATGACTGATCATGAAGACCTATTCAAAGTATCTTTAACATCTGAAGAAGAAACCGTGACAAAAAATGAGATATACCGGAAGCTAAGAACCATAGAAACAAATACCTCAAAGGAAAGAAAACCCCAAAACAAAATCATGTTAGAGCCCATGTCAACTCCATACATTAAGAAATCTCACAGCATCCCGCTTGTAAGTCGCAGTGTTCACATTTCTTGTAATCCAGTAGATGACAGTTTCTGGGTGAGTGACCACGAACATGTCTGTAGGTCAGACAAAGGTCACTCACTGGAAATCGGGAAACATGGATACGGGGAACACACGGTGACTTCCCAAGGAAAACTAATCTACATAGATCGTGATTATAATATAATTAAAGACTGCACCGAGAGAATTGTATTGATTGCAACAAAAGAAGGATGGAAGCCTAAGTGTATCTACTGTTCCCCTTTAACTGAAGACTTACTAGTGGGAATGGCGACAATAAATCTCGCAGCGGCTAAAGTTGTGCGATACCTAAGTACTGGAGAGGAACAACAGTCTATCCAGTATGATGACAGACGACAACCTTTGTACACCTACCCTGCTTATGTAACGGAAAATCGTAACGGTGACATCATTGTTTCCGATAATTATGTGGTGAAGGTGACTGACTGTAAAGGGGGAGTTAGATTTACCTACAGAGGGCCCCCAGATAAAGGACTCGCCCCACGGGGGGTCTGTACTGACCCACTGTTAAATATACTTATATGTGATTGTAGATCCCATGGTGTTCACATGCTTGACAAGGATGGACATCTCCTGTCTGTTCTGTTACAATATGCAGAGAACTCTGCCGGTCCGTGGGGTGTGAGTTATAATGAAACTGATCACGTGATATTAGTGAAAGGTGATGCAAACAATATAGTGGCGGTACATAGATATCTTAATCGAGCAAGATATTTACTTTGAAACAGAAAAAGTGCATATATATATTTTCTTGAGAAGAAAAACTATAAGGGGGAAATATTTCTGTCACTGAATATGTCATCCATCGGGGAGATGAGACTCTCACTGTAAGATTCCCAGAGGAAAGATATCATCTGGAAATAATACAGTTGAAATAAATATACCTACATGAAATAAACAAATAACGAATAATTTTTTTCAAAAGAAATAAGTAAAATACAAACAAACTTTCTTAGCAGTCACTGGTCATTTGCAAAATTCTTTTAAAAAAAAAACATTCTGATTGTACACACAACTACTCTAAAGTTGACGTCAAATAGAAGCTTGAGTTTCTGATTGACAATTATATCTTTGTTGTTTTTGGGGACCAGGTCTTCCAACAATGTATTGGAATTCCCATGGGTACCTATTGTGCCCGATTATTAGCAGACCTATTTTTGTATTTACATGAAGCAGAATTTGTGCAAAATCTTAAGCGTGAAAAGAAGAGAACACTTGCTGTGGCCTTGAACTCGACCTTTAGATATATCGATGACGTATTAATATTTAACATTGGTAAGTTCTATTATGTCGATACAATATATTCCGGTGAGCTTGAGATAAAAGATACCACAGACTGACACATTTGTTTTTTATTTGGATATTTTACTTGAAAAAGACGTTGATGGTAATCAAACAACCAAGCTCTATGATACAAGTGATGACTTTAACTTTTCTTTCGTTAACTTCCCTTACGTATGCAGCAATATACCTTCCTCACCTGCGTACGGAGATTATATATATTGTTTGATTCGATAAGCAAGACAGGCTCTGCGTATGAACAATTTCTAAAACGAGGTAAATTATTGTTAAACAAGTTGATTAAACAAGAATATCAGCAGTCTCGTTTAAAGCCATCATTTCGCAAGGGTTTATATATGACCTTGTCAGCAAATACAATTTATCATTGAGTCAAATGCTGACTGACGTTTTTCATATATATATATATTGCTGGTCCATTATTTATACATTTAATTTTTAGTTATTTCCCGATCATGACAAGGAGCACACGGCGGGCAAGACCGGTCGTCAGGGGATGCTCATTCCTCCATGGCACCTAATCCCACCTCTGATTTTTCGGAGGTCCGTCTTTGCACTGCTCCTATTTTGTATCTTTTTTTTTTTAACTTTTGATCTTGAATACTGTATGTGATTTTCATATGTTTCATTGAAAAATGTCTACCTTGTCATCGGGGACTATTTTTTATTTTTAAGAATAACAAAAACAGAAAAAAACAACCACAGTATTGTAATTGAAAAAAATCCTGACAATTCTTAGAAAACCGGTAAAGGCAATAAATTCATGCCTTTGCATACAATGAATGATGCACTAACTATAACTATTAAATCCATTTAGTTCTAATGTCTTTGACACGTAGTTACATATACTAAATGTTCTTGACACGTCGTTGTTTATCAATGTCCTTGACCCATCGTTGTTTACTCTTCCTCTGGGTTTTCTTCCTCCTCCGTCTCCTCAGAGTCAGAAGAACTCAGCATCTCTTCTTCCACGACTTCCGCCGGACTCGGAAAGTCCACGTATTCTTTTTCGCTGTTGAGATTGGCCTCGTCCTTTAGGTCTCGGATTTTTTTCAGTTCATCTGAGAGCACCTGCTCCTCCACCTCGTTCTCTCTTACCTCCTCCTGTCCTACGTCATCGGTGTAACCTGTCAAATAAATTAAATATCTACATTTAGTATTTCAAACAATTCCGACGTCATCGGTGTAACCTATCAAGTAAATTATAGAATTTTAAAAAGTTTCGAGGTCATCGGTGTAACCTGTCAAATAAATTAGATATCAACATTTAGTATTTTAAAAAATTCCGACGCCATCGGTGTAACCTGTCAAATAAATTAAATATGTACATTTAGTATTTAAGGATTTCCATCCCTAATGGGACCAAATTTCCTACCCTTAAATGTCCGTCAAATACATAATACTATGATGTTATATTAAAATATTTTATATTGGAAAAGGATTGACCGCGAGAAAGTTTTAAAAATTTCATTATTTAAGCAGTAGTTAATGAACAGAGATTGCATTGAAGTCTATGGGGAAAATCGTTTTTTCAAAATAAAAATTCAAATACTTTGAATATCAATAAATCCTGCGGTGGAAAGATGAATCGAAACATTAAAAATAGAATGACACTTGAAAACAATTTTTTTACCGGCTACAATTTTTTAAATTGATTTTTTTATATTAATTATAAAAAAGGGGAGATAACTCTTACCAAAATTCAAGGTCATAAATTAGGACACATCCCACTACACATACTAATAATAATAAATGGGAAGTATGTCTAAATAAACTGAGTATTCAATGCCTACGTATCTGTTATGTTCCTATTAGGGATTGAATACCTTAAAAAAATCCGACGTCATTTTGTGTAGAAAACATGGTCGACGTCATCATGTTATCAATCAGATAAATAATATATCTGCAGTAAGCGCAGAAAACAAATTGGACGAAATCATCAACCTAGTCTCAGTTAAATTAACATATAGATCTACATTCAGTAATAGAAAAGAAATGCCCTAAGGTAATTGGTTTAATGTCAGTAATTTTCATTCCTAAATTCAGTTAAAAAAAAATGACGTAACCCTAAGTCATTCGAGCTACCTTTCATATTAATTTCCACGTTTAAATTCAGTAAGAAAATTTTTTACAAAACCCGATGCCGCACATCAATCTGTAAATGATCAGCTTTGAATAATAGTAGACAGATATTTTACCCCTTAAGAAAATTTAACTTATTATTTGATGTAAAACTGAAATTACGCCTTAAAATGAGCTTTTATTCTAAAGCGCATGAAGTTATCTTTGGCCAATTATAGTCAGGAAATAGAATAACTCCCCGGTTAGACGCAATAAGTCTCTTGACCTACTTTAGGTCTTGAGTCTCGATGAAACGATAATTATGCTACTTGCAATCGAGTTTATTTTAAAGAACGTATGAATTCTTGTAAACTTCGACGATTGTTTGGAAATACTTAAAGTTCAAACAACATACGGAATTATATAATACATTTCAGATTTTGTGTTCGAACACTCGATCTGCAAAATGTCACATTTAATACTGTATTCCTTTTCAAAAGTTAATTAAATTTTAATAAAAACAGTTTCTTTTCACATAAGATCAATATTTTTTCTGACTTCCTGTTTAATTCGTTCGAATACTAGTGATTTACCTGATTGGCTATTATGATTTTTTTAACTTGTTAAAATTGTCCTGTCTCCATAGAGATTTTACTTTTCTAGTGTACATTCGTCTTGTTCCTATATTTTACCTGTCTAACTTATCTGAATGTGTCTGATCCCAGTCTGACGTACTATAGTATCTTTTTTCTGTTTATTTATTTTTTTTTTTTTGGTCTAAGATCGATTTATTTTATAATGGTCATACAATTGTTTTGCTCGTATTGCCTCTAGATTTTCTGACTTCTTAACTTAATCTACCTGGTTTTATTCCATTTTACCTGTTTCACCTCTTACCTGGGTCTTTCTTATCCTCCACGATCTCTTCCAAGTGTTTGAGGAGGAAGGCCTGTTTCTCCAGGACATCTCCAATGTTGTACATCTCCTCCTGTAAAGTCTTAATTTTCTTTTCGTGGGCCTCCATGGTAGTGAGTAAAACATCCACCGCCTCCTCCAGCTCGGAGACGGGGACGGGACTAGCCCAGGCCAGGGGGACCAGTAAGCAAATCCAAAAAAACATCATCTCTCTTGCAAGTCTACTTCTTAAATGATATTTGTTTTTATAACTTTGACTGAAAAGTGCTTAAGACTTGCACTTGACAAATCTTATAATGAGTGATAGCCGCGCTGGTAGAGGGGTCATTTCTCAGTAGACGTTCGTTAAGTCTTGTGTAAGTGAAACTGGATCTCCATATTAGGTTACAAATAGTGTAAATTCTGACTGTGGATTTTAATGTCTAATTTCAACACATTGATAATTACAAGACATGAAGATGTAGGGATCTGTACTTGTAATTAAGCAAAGACAGATTTTTTTTTGTTCTCGGCAAGTCAGTATCTATAATAACAATAATTGGTTCTATAACAGGAAGGCAATCTTTGACAGACATGAAGTGTCTAATAACGGTACTTTTAATGTTGAAGAACCTAAGCACTTGTTCATCCTGGGTTAAATAATGAAGGAAAATGGCACCTGACCACTGCTTGACAAGAAACATTGGCGAATACAAGATTTTGTGTCGGGTGACACGAAACACTATATCTGTGAATGACAATTTCGGTGTACCTGAAATTAAGTTAAAAAAAACAGCGAGAAAATAGTTCACCGGTACAAAAAAAACCAGGTAGTTTTTCATGTATTGAACAGTTGATATGTATATTAAATGACTATTTAATGAAAATAAAGATGACCTGAATCGTGCAGCTAAATAAATTTCAGGTTTGACGTTGAAAACCAGGAAAAATGCATTGGTAGTTGAGTCTTTCTGAGGAGGCTGATTGATTGATTTTTACTTTCCTCGCAGATGTTTAGAATAAATAATTTCTCCTAAAGTAAGAATTTGTTGTAAGTCTATTTATTTATTTTTATAGTCTTCTATCTAGAGGAACAAGGACTCGATTTTGCAAGTGGATATCCCATTGATCCACATTGTTTCCTTTCTAAGGGGGAACTTCTTAAAAATCATATGTCAGTTCTAAATACTCTATAGCACTCCCTGCAATCAAAATAAATTTGAATGTAACCATGCCTTTACATGTTCTGGATTCATGAATTGCATAGAAAGGTAAGCAAAGATAATTAGCAATTAAATTTTCTTCAAAACTTCTTATTTATTCATCACTACGTTAATATTAACAGCAGTGAATAAAAAACTTAAGGATCCAGAACTTTACAACGATTTTACATTAAAGAAGTGGTGTTTATTTAGATGTGGATACTTAAAAACTTAAAGGAATAAAAAAGAATTAAATCACAAAAAATGAAAAGATGAAAATCATTACATACGATTTTTCAAATCATTATACAACCATGCAATGTGAAAATTAAAATCAAGCCTTTTTGACATCACTGAAATTTTTGTCTTTTCCTTGTAAAATTAACAGTCAATTGTCAATCTTCAAGTTCCATTTTCATAAATAAGAATTTGACGATAGAAAACTTAAAGTCATCACGTTTATCATAGAGCTTGGTTGCGCTCCGTTATTAGCAGACCTATTTTTGTATTCATATGAAGCAGAATTTGTGCAAAATCTTGTGCGTGAAAAGAAGAAAACACTTGCTGTGACCTTCAACTCGACCTTCAGAGATACAATGGTAATTTCCATTCCTACGTCGATACGATATATCCAGGAGAGCTTGAGATAAAAGATACCACAGAGTCTAACACATCTGTTTCATAATTGGATATTTTACTTGAAAAAGAAGTTAATGGTAACCTAACAACCAAGTTATATGATAAACGTGACGACTTTAACTTTTCTATCGTCAACTTCCCTTACGTATGCAGCAATATTCTTATGTCGTTACGATGTATTGTAGTGAGCATGAGATCAAAGATACCAAAGATTCTGACACATTTATTTCATATTTGGATATTTTGCTTGAAAAAGACGTTAATGGTAATCTAACAACCAAGGAGGATATGGAGATAATGAACAGTATTCAATATCAAAGTCCATAAAACAATACAAAATAGGAGCAGAGCAAACACGGACCTCCGAAACATCAGAGGTGGGATCAGGTGCCATGGAGGAGTGAGCATCCCCTGCTGACCGGTCACACCAGCCGTGTGCTCATTGTCATGATCGTGAAATAACGGAAAAATCCGTCGTCAATTCAGTGTATAAATAATGGACTAACAATTGATATGAAAAAAATGGACTAACAATTGGTATGAAAAACGTCAGTCAGTCAATGATAAATTGTATTTGCTGACAAGGTCATTGTATCGACCATAGAAGTTACGAAATGATGACCTTAAACGAGACAGTTGATATTCTTGTTTCATCAAATTGCTTGTCAATAATTTACCTCGTTTTAGAAATTGTTCATACGTAGAGCATGCTCTTGCGTATCGAATCAACTGAGACATATATACACTCCGTATGCAGGTGATGAAGGTATATTGCTGCATACGTAAGGGAAGTTGACGATAGAAAAGTTAAAGTCGTCACGTTTATCATATAACTTGGTTGTTAGGTTACCATTAACGTCTTTTTCAAGTAAAATATCCAAGTATGAAACAGATGTGTCAGACTCTGTGGTATCTTTTATCTCAAGCTCTCCTGGATATATCGTATCGACGTAGGAATGGAAATTACCATTGTTAATTGACAATACGCTGTCTATATATCTGAAGGTCGAGTTGAAGGTCACAGCAAGTGTTTTCTTCTTTTCACGCACAAGATTTTGCATAAATTCTGCTTCATATGAATACAAAAATAGGTCTGCTAATAACGGAGCGCAACCAAGCTCTATGATAAACGTGATGACTTTAAGTTTTCTATCGTCAAATTCTTATTTACGTATGCAGCAATGTGTGTTCATCACCTGCATACGGAGCTTATGTATCTCAGTTGATTCAATACGCAAGAACATGTTATACGTATGAACAATTTCTAAAACGAGATAAATTATTGACAAACAAGTTGATAAAACAAGAATTTCAGCTGTCTCCTTTAATGTCATCATATATATATATATATACAATATATATATATATATTTATATATATATATATATATATTTTTATATATATATATATATTATATACACTGAACACACGGATTTTTCCGTTATTTCCCGATCATGACAAGGAATACGCTGCGGGTGTGACCGGTTGACAGGGGATGCTCACTGATTATCGTAAAATCTGTGATTTTAGATTTTCAGAAAAGTTCTTTTGATTTTTTTGTATCAACATCTGAAAAACAATACTCATCGAATGAATTACATACATTACTGTTCATAAGGTTTCTCCATTGCTTTTAACATTTTGAAGTCAAAGATATGCACTGTAGAAGAGGAAAGAAAGAGACTTAAACATTCATTGAAACTTTTGGGTTATCTTTGTTTGTAGGGATTTTCATGAAGTTAGGAATTCAGAATAAGTATTGTAATTCAAATTCATTTTAATTGTAAGGAACATTGTAAATACTAGTATCTAAACCTGACATGTGATTTTGAAGAATGTCCTCCTTAGAAATAGAGGCTAAGAGCTATGAGTATAATACTAAGTATGGATTGCTACTTACAGAATTTGTGATATTTATGAAATGATGAATACAAAAAATCGTGGTTCCCTAAACTTTTGTTCTCGTATAATAAGTGATTAGCACGTTAGGCTTTATATTTTAGATGGTAGATATCTGAACACTTTGGAAATGCAACATCAATTTAGCATATAAGGGAATTTGTCAGTCCAATTTCCATTTCTAAAGCCCTTTTTAGCTTTTCAGTAAACATATTAATGTGTGTTGATATACGTTTTTATTTTCACTATGCATATTAATTTCCAAATTGAAAATGTTTTTATGCCTCAGCTTGGTTTTTTTTTAAATTATTTCAGTCTGTTGACTTTCCTTAAGATCTTTTTTGGTGCACATATGATTCTATAGTACATGCATATATTTTCATCTTGATGTAAAAAAGAATATTTTTGTAAAAATATATCGTCATACATGTACATATGATCCAGCGTCTTGGATTTCCAGGGGTCCATGCTTTATGTCCGATATGTTTGTTTGATTTTTTGAGAACACTCAGTCAATGCTCGTTTTCTCCACCCCGAACTTTTTTTTATATGAATAACAAAGAGACAGTAATGGTAGTAAATAATATTTTTATTTTTAAAAAGTATGCTTTATTCCACTTTCACTAAGTTGCAAATTTCAATAATCCATTTACATGCTAATATCTCATATATCGGTACCACAAGTAAAGATGTTATAACAAAATTACACCTCAGCCATATCTCAGACGACTTAGCGAGCTCTAAAATTGGATAGGAGTAATTTGTTTACATTTTGCGTTTACTCCTTACAAGTAAATTCAAAATTTAAAATGACACCACACTACTAAAACGACAAATTCCAGCACAATCTCGTCAGGTTTGAATCTGTTCTCAGGTTTTCTACTTTTGCTGAGTCTGAATCGGCCACTGCTCGTCTATCACTGCTTTTCACAGGTCTTCACACGACAGACACATACATTGCAAAAGAAACGGAATGTTCTGGGGAGTCCCCGCCCACATACCCAGCATCCAACATTTCCACAGATCCGTCCCAGTTTGGTTGGCGGATCCAGTTGTTAGGCTCCAGGTCTTCTACCATGTTGCTCGTGTAGTCCCACTGTAAAGCCAGGTCGGCGGATCCTAAAGTCCCACTTAGCACGCTTTTGGAGCTCCGTCTTTCACGCAGTGCCGTCATGAAGTCATAGGACAACGTCAAGGCGGAAGCGGCCAGCATCGATGTTTCAATATTCTTGTTAGGAGTACTGCAAAGTGGTTGTGATTTGGCAAATGTGGGTTTCTGACATGTCCTTATAGGTTGCTTCCTCCGTTTATTTAGAAGATGCAATACCAATGGACGAATCAGAAGATATCCCACTCCAGACCCTAAACCGATTGTCAGGAAGATCCACACATTATACGTCATCAGTGACATCACTAGTAAACAGCAGACGTAGACACGGAACACGTGTAGAAAGGCCAGCAGACAGTGTCGAAAAGTCACCGTGTAGCTGCCTCCTTCCAACATGTACCTATAACATTGAGTATAAGTAACAGAAATTGTTAACACTTCAACATTAATGCATCCTTAACAAGAAGGTAAAATTGTGTAGAATATCAAGGTAATTAAGCTTCCCTAATGCCAAACAGTCACTAAATAAACATTTATTGTACTGATAAAAATTGAGATTATATCTCAATGTGACATGACTGTTTTTCTCATAAAACATTTTTTCATATTTCAATTTTTTTTTAACTTGTGAGGGGTCAACAGGAAAATCCCACGAAATATTTGCTCTGAAAATTCAATGAAGGGGACTCTATATGTTTGTCTTTGAAGGACAGGCACAGCTTATATGAACAAGATGAACATTTCTCATTGATAATTTTCTAAGATATTCTCAATTTTGAACAATAGTGCAATAAGGTTTTCTTACAAAAACATCAGCTTACATGTATTACCAAGAGTTTTGACTAAACATTAAAATGATAAAAAGCTAGCATTTTCTGGGGGAAAAGTTAACATAAAAATTATTCAATAATAAAAGTGTTTTACTGGTATTTCCCAAAAATTTGATTTAGAGGAGGTGGGCAGTATTACCTGACACAATAAATTTGCAAAAAGTCCTTCAATAATTGGAAGTTTAAAAAGAGAATATTAAACATATATAACTTTCAATACTTTACGATTTACCTGTCAATATTGAACTTCTCGGTGAGGCTGATGAAGGCGCGCATCGTCTCGTGGAATAATGTGAGTACCAGCGTACATAGTAGGGCACCAATTAAGCCTACAATACAAAAGTCACATGTTAGATAGCAATACTTTATTCCTAATCTTCCTCAAAATCATTTTAAACAACGATGCATTGCCAGGTCCAGCGAATACTCTTCGAAGCATCATACGAGGGGTGATCAAAACTATCTCTATATTTACAAAACCACGAATCAGATCAGAATGAAATTTAGCATACCTATAGTTATGCACATTTTCTATAATAAGCATATGAAAAGTAACGATTTTCTCCATCATCGTGACGTCACAATGTAAAAATGACGTCAATATATAGGTGACTCATTACGAAAAATGGTTGACACAGTCTTACTCGAACAACGAACGGCTGTAAAGGTTAACGTATAACTTGGAAATTCCTCTGAAGTATCTTGTAATAATTAGTACAAGGTTTATGAAAACAATAGACTTTCTAGACATTTAACCATAAATTGGATTGATTGGTTTAGTGAAGGGAGGGAGGTGGTTTAAAATGGCGTTTGTTTTGTAGCCCAGCGAAAGGTATGTGGGGAAGATATGTGTCTTTTGTTAGGCAATTTGAAATAAAAGATTGCAAAGTTAACTATTCTATTTTATGTTCGTGACCGCCTGGATCACGTGATTCGCGCATGGGCAGAGCGGTGGCAGATATACATTAAAATCAGAGAGGGCTTACTTAAAAAAATAATGAACACCGAATCCTAATTTTAAGTGTTTTATGGAAGTTATTCGATTTGTTCGCGAACTTTTTGATCACCCCTCGTATGTCAGTTTTGAATATATTTCATATTCCAAACAACCACAATTAATTTGAATCAGAATCACTATATCTATATTGGATACCGAAACTTTAAAAAAAAATCCTTGAGATAACAAACTGTATTCAAGATCAGAAGTCCATAAATTACAAAATGGGAGCAGAACAAACACAGACCTCCAAAACATCGGAGGTGGGATCAGATGACCCTTTGTCAGAAAGGATTTAATGTATCAGATCCATGTTAAAATCGCGTATTAAAAGATTGAGGGGTAATATGAAAACCATCTATCTTTCTATATTCAATAATCCAGAAGTGAAAAAAGAATTAGATAGATTACATGATCAGTACGTACTGGTTCTTGTTGACAAAGCAGGTAACAACAGTGGCTTCGTTTAATTGCAAGGCTCATAATATAAATTGTATTTTAGAACTTGGATTTTATTCTACAAGTGATAATCCAACTATACTCATAGTTCCCTTTCTAAGAAAGAAATTATTCAAAATCATATGTCAGTTTTGAACATGTTTAATATCCCAAAGAACCAAAATGAATTTGAACTACCTTATACCGGGGGTATATTTTGGATTCCGAAACTTCATAAGAATCCTTACAAACAAAGATACATTGCAGGTTCCAGTAAATGTTCAACCAAGTCTCTTTCTTTAATCCTCACTAAAATATTGACAGTAGTGAAGGAAAAACCTCAAGAGCACTGTGCAACAATGTTTTCAAGAAGTTGTGTGAATCAGATGTGGATACTCAAAAATTCAAAAAAACTTTTTGACAATTTGAAATCACAAGATTTCACCAAAATCAACAGTTAAAAAACTTATGGCTTTTCAACTTTACACACAACCATTCCCAATGATAAATTAAAGTCCAGGCGTTTTGATATCATTGACAGCTGCTTTTCCAAATTTCAGTAAAAATGGAACTCGTAAATTAAGGTAGAATTCTTCTCATATTTCTTGTATTTAAACATTGATGAAATATTCACAAAATCAAGAAGACAATATCACTTAGTGATGGTATCAGTGAAATTAAATTTGATCGTTTTATATTAGAGACAAGCTAACTGGGTCAGGTCAAGGTCATTATACTTTTTTCCCGGACATTAATAATAAAAAAATACAGTTGCCAATTATGCTATCCTTACTTGTATTTCAAAAGATTGAATGTTTTTCTTTATGCATAAAACGATACTACCATAAAGGGCCTATAAGTTGATAGAACCAAATTGACATAATTTAATTAACTAAAATGAATATTTGGTAACGAAGCTCTGTCCAACAAGATTACTGGTGAAAGAAGTGTTAGTTATCAAAATGTCACAGGTTTCTACAGTTTTACGTTTATTTAAACGTACCTTATAAACACTTGCTGTGGTATTCAACTCAACATTTAGATGACTCGACAACGTATTAACTTAAGTTACTTCATTCATATGCCGACTCGATATTTTTCAATGGATTTTAAATAAAAGATACCATGTGTGAAGCAAATCTGTTTCATATTTGGATGCTTTACGCTATAGAAAATGACGTTATGGTAACTAACAAACGTGGTTACTCTTTTCTAGTTTTTTTCTCTCATGTGATTTGATACCGAAGGGCATGTTGTCCAGTACGATTACTGGTGAAAGAAGTGTTGTTTATCAAAATCCAACATGTTTTACAGTTTTCGCAAAACATTTAGAAATATAACACATGGGATCCGGAAAGGAATCTTCGAATGTAGCTGTAAAAGAAACCTTTCTTTTTCAATTTTTTGTATGAAGTATTGGTTCTATACCAAAACTGGGAATCTGAAGACTCTACATTTGACATATGTTTAAAAGGCCTTTTATTATTAAAAAAAACCCATGCCTGTTGTATATATGGTGGTGTTAAGTGCAGGGGAATAAAATATTTGATCCCAGTGATGGCGATAAACAATCACATGAAAATACTGGTATACCTTCATTGTCCGTCAGGTCCCAGCCCTGGAGAAGGTAGAAAGACTTATGGTCTGGCATCATCTGAAAGGAAAAAAATCTTTTCTTTACAGCTATTGTTCTTTTTGTCAATGGATTAATGCATAGACATATTTAGAAATTATATCAATTCATATACATGTACAAATTGACACGAAATAAAATATGCAGATAACGAACAACAATATAACCTTGCTAAAAGGTCGATATAAACAATTCAAATTATAAACAGAGTAAAACGGGAACCTCTAAAGGCAGAGGTTGGATCCGGAGCCAATGAAGACTAAACATCTTCTGACAACCGGTCATACACGTTGTCATGATAGGGTAAATGTAAACAAGGGGTCCAAGAGCCTTATAGGTCACCTGAATATCATGTAATAACTTTCCAACAATTGAATTTGGTTCGTGTTTTAAACCAAAAGCCATGAAATTCACAATTTTGAAAGTACCATTACTTATCACAATTTTACACTTAGCATGCTTAATTTGGTTAATTAATAGCCAAAGGTAGATCAGAGTAACAAAGAGAAAATGCATTTCCACTTTATAACCACCATTTGTGCAGTCCACCCTACAGGAACCACTGCCACTGGGGCTAAAGAGCAGATTTCAAAGCATTAATTTATTTTCGGACTACCTACCCACCAACACCCAACCCCCTCCCACCACCACCATCACTAACTACACCTGACCCAGGAGCCCTGAAATTGACCACTTTGGAAGAGGAACCTTTCATCATAAATATGTACATGTACTTACATCATTGGCATAATAACCAGGAGCAAAGGAAAAGATTTTGAAAGAATTTATGCATTTTCACTATATAATCATTAGAAGACTAAATGTGCAAATGTTAACACACGACGCATGACGGACGATTCACGACGCACGACGATGGACGAAAACAAATAGCAATAAATCACCTGAGTTAACTCAGGTGACCTAAAAAAAGCAAACATGCTCAGCGTGAAAATAGTGTCCCAACAATTTGTAATCAGAATTTGTGCAAAATCTTATGCGTGAAAAGAAGAAAACACTTGCTGTGTCCTTCAACTCGACATTTATATATATCGACGATGTATTGTCGATTAACAATTGTAATTTCCATTCTTATGTCGATACGATATATCCTGGTGAGCTTGAGATAAAAGATAGCACAGAGTCTGACACAGTTGTTTCATATTTGGATATTTTACTTTAAAAAGACAGTAATCTAACAACCAAGTTCTATGATAGACGTAATGACTTTAATTTTTCTATCGTCATATTCCCTTATTTATGCAGGAATATACCTTCATCACCTGCATACGGAGTTTATGTGTCTCAGTCGATTCGTTACTTAAGAGCATGCTCTACATTAGTCTGGTCCGATTTATAGAAAAAATACTTCTAACGGCAAATAATTATTATTTGGTCCAGCATAGTTTTTTAACCTAATTCAAGTATGCTGAATCCGAAAAAATATGCTGGCCTTCATGAAAATGGCGTTAAAGAGGTCAAAATGGCGATTCAAAATGGCGGACATCCAATGTTTCTAATTTTCACCTAATATCGTTCAAAATGGAGAAATAATGTGTAAATATCTCACTGAGTGTAATACAACTATAATAATGATAATAGAGTGCTAACATTACTAGTTTAACTCAGAAAATTTAGTCGTTTCTTCGCTTAATTCGAATTTTCTCTGATTTATTTGTCTATTGTTTCTATTTTCTGCTTTGTTCAGGATTTTACTTTAAAATTTTGCAAATATCCATACACTGCAGATTTGTATTTTTTCCTCTGCATCTCACTATTCTACAATTGAATGATGATGCATCTGTAAGTTAAAAGTCAAAATGGCAATTCAAAATGGTGGATATTCATTTTTTCAAATTATTTCTTAATGTCGTTTACATAGGAGAAAAGATTTGTGAATATCGTACTGAGCGTAGTACAACTATGTAAAACGACAATAGAACACACATTATCACTTTAATTCAAAAATTTAGTCGTTTAAATTTGGAATGTGTTAATAAGCTCGAAATGGCGAATCAAAATGACGTCATATACACTCGAATTTCATATAATACTCAACCTGCTTAATTCTGAGTCGTTTTGCAACGGTTTGTTTTTATACCCCTCACTTGAAAAGCGGGAGGGTATACAGTAATCAGTATGTCCGTCCGTCCGTCTGTCCGTCTGTTACGCTTTTGGGTACCCATCTCTAATTCGCAACTCCTCTCATACCAATGAATGAAAATTGATGTAACTTTCACAAAATCTTTATTACACATTGCCATGGTGACCTCCTATTTTACTTTTTGATCCGACACATATTTTGGGTTTCCCGTAGCGAAACATGGACACTGTCATTATATCTATATGGGAGGCGGGGGTATCATTTAGTGATCTCATTGCTCACAGTACCTCTACTTTTACATATAGTATACTGATTAGTTCATTTAATATGAACAAACAAAAAATACTAGAATAGTTTCATTTTTTCTTGATATATTTAAACAAAATCGACTTAAGGCTTTCCAAATTTTCCCCCTCGTATTTGACCGTGTTCCAAAGCTTTTGAGTCCCCGTCCACCTAAAATCACTCCTGAATCGCTGTCATTATCAACTCTACTTCAACATCCCTCATCACACCATCAAGTATAATTGAAGAAATTCTTGTACGTTTCATCGAACACTTTGTATTAGCTTTTGAAATTAGCACTTACAATGAAGCGCATTGAAGTGGTAAAATTTTCCGTTCGAATGGAACGTTTTGAGCTATCTTTAGAACGTTTATTGTCATTTTATGACACGCCCATTTCTTAAGAAATGGATAAAACGGTCAATTTGTTCATTAGAATACCTGTAGAACAGGTTTTCCATAAATATAGTAGCCAATCAAATTGACAGTCTAAATAAACACCAAGTAAACGCGTGTTCGACCGAAACATGTGTTGTGGTAACTTCGATAGACATGATAACTTCAAAAATATGTTCATATTTGTTGCAATTTGAGTTTTAGAGAAGCGGGGAGTCTCTAATTCTTTCTACAATTTTTTAAAGCTCCATTTCAGTGTAACTCATGTTCTTTGTCGCGAAGAGTGGGGTGTCCTAAAACAATGGGCGTGTCATTATATTATAATTGACGTTCAAAGCATGACTCAGAACGTTTCATCCAAACGGAAAATTTTACCACTTCAATGCGCTTCATTGTATGAGAGCTTTATAGTATTATCCCCTAACATCTTCTATTCCAGCATTATTTGCTATAGGTATCAGTTTTTCTGTCTTTAGAATTTTGGTATTTCCAACACCCAAGGAACAACACATGTTCAAATGTTAAAAATACATTTTGTTTTCCAAAACTTTATGCAAAATGAACTAGAGGTAATGTGAGCAATGAGCTCACTAAATGATACCCCCGCCTCCCATATGTATATAATGACAGTGTCCATGTTTTGCTATGAGAACAAGTAAAATAGGAGATGCACAATGGCAATATGTATAAAGATTCTGTGAAAGTTTCATCAAATTTAATCCAGTGGTATGAGAAAAGTTGCCGATAAGAGATGGGTACCCCAAAGCTAACAGACGGACGGACTTACCGATTACTATATCCTTCCGCTTTTCAAGCGGAGGTATAAAAAATCTCTGATATTCAAGACATGCAGCTTTCTATTTTGTGACCGTATAGATTTGTTATCTTTTGGGTGGAAATGTCATTCTATTAGCAAGAAAATTCTCAAACTTTATCATCTGGAATCACATTGTGTGCATATCTTGGTGAGAAAATTTGACAAGTATGCAATTTAAGAGCACAGATTCCTCGTGATTCCTATCACGTACAAGCTTTCGTATCAATAAGCCTAAGTCATTCTTGACTTTGATCTAGTCAACAAAATTTTCTTGAACCCTCCAAGAACTTTACAAGACAACTTGATCCACACTTCATTGTTAGGATAGTGTAAGGTTGGATCAAGAATCGAGGGGGGATTGAACAAAAACATTTTCCTCTTTCAGATTTTGTAAATTTCAAAATTTAAATACACTATTCAATAAAAGATTATCCGTTCACAATATAAAATATCTGTGAATAAAGTTGAATTTTTGACTGAGAATAACAAAATGCAAATGAATGGGACACAGAATCAGAGCTAGAAAATCAAGAACATTTATGGTTTATACTTATATAATACTGATAATTCTTAATAAATATGTTTATATTTGGTATTATAATATATTCAGATTTATATGATGTAACAATTACTAGCCCTCTAATTGGTCGTGGTTCATTATTTCAAAAATCATGATGTTATGTTGCACTAGACCTTCCACATGAACATACACATTTATGTGTTTTCTACACTGGACTCAAAATAGATTAAGAATTTCCAACAACTGAGATATGATTAAGCAAACCTTGAACTACAATGCTCAATCGCCTTAATGCTCGGGGAATACTGCTCTTGGGGTAAGTTAATTGTCCTATTGTCCTCTAAACAATTATTGTATGATATTAACTTTTTATGTGAGACAGACAATAATTAAGATGTCTTCAATTCGGAACTGTCGTCAAAAGTTTATCTTAATCATGTGTTAATACTAGTAATAAAATAATTATACAGAAATCCGTTTCATAAAAATCCTAAGTCATTAACAAAAATATCCTCCAACTTTCATTGCCTATTTGAATATTATTTCATTAATAAAAAAAACACAAACTGTAATTTATTTCCTGCAAAACGACTCAGAATTAATATGCAGTTTGGGTATTTTACGAAATTCGAGTGTATATGACGTCATTTTGAATCGCCATTTTGAGTGTTTTTACACATTCCAAATTTAAACGACTAAATTTTCGAATTAAAGTGATAATACAAGTGTTCTAATGTCAGTTTACATAGTTGCACTACGCTCAGAAATAAATTCACAAATCCTTTCTTCTATGTAAACGACATTAAGAAATAATAATAAAAAAAAATGAATATCCGCCATTTTGAATCGCCATTATGACTTTTAACTTACAGCTGCACCATCATTCAATTGTAGAATAGTGAGATGCAGA